AGCTGCAAATTCCAAACTTTGTAGGCCCTATTCTCTCTACACATGAGACCAGTATCAAGGAAGCAGATCCCTTGGAGCTGAGTAATTCCATTATCTTTTTAACATGGTAAGGAGCCCTGGTGGTGCAGTGGTTAAGAGCTCTGCTGCTAACTGAAAGGTTGGCAGTTCAAACCCACTAGCCACTCCATGGGAGAAAGATGTGGCAATCTACTTCCATAAAGATTACAGCCTTGGAAACCCTTTGGGGTCCTCTGTCCTATCAGTTTACTATGAGTTGGAATCAACAGCAACTAGTTTTTTTTTTAATATGTTTGGAAAGTACTCTTCAGCACCAGGCAGGCTGCTGCTGCCTCTGGGAATTTAGATTGTCAAGGTTTGTCAGGAGCTGCAGTTGGTGAAAATCTACCCACAAGCACCCTTTTCATCTGAAACTTGCTTCCTCTTTCCCACCACCCTGTAAGACTCCCTGAGCAAGGGAAGAGAATAGCATTTCCCATGTGAGGGACAGAGAAAGCACTAATAAAGGAGATGGATTAAAGCTTCGTGAGGGAGAACTCATATGGTGTGCTCACTGAGGACAGGCACCTTATATCACTCATCTTCACATCCATGACAGGATAAACTCTATGTGTTGAATAAATGCTTCTCAAAGTAGCTACTATATTTCTATTACATCTTAATTGAACAAATAAAATATTGGATGTGGGCCACTTATTGGGAAATGCTCGGGATGTGAAGAAAAGTGTGGTTCAAAGGGAGCTGTGTGACCCTGGAAAAGTCACTCCCTATCTCTGAGTCTCAATTTCATTATTTCTAAAGTGATCTCAATGCTAAAAAGAATTATCCCTAAGGCTGTCCTTCTGCTCTGAAAATGAAGACTCTCTAAGTTTCCTACAGGGGCGACTGAGCTCAATTTGGCTGGGCCTTAGCCCGCCTACAGGCCAGGGCCATAACCGCCGCGGCCCCCAGGAGCTAAGGCCCAACGGCCACCCTCCCGCAAGCCAGGGGTCCTCTGTGCCACCTCTTGCCCTCACCCGTCACGTGGACGCCAAGAAGGACGCCCTGGGCAGTGGCGAGCTCGGGTTCCGATGCCCCCGGCTTCCTGAAGACTAGCAGGTCGGGAAGTAGTGCCGCCAGCCGGGCCTCTATCGACCACAAAGGTCGACCCGCCAGCCGCTTGCCGGTCGCCATGGAGGCGGCGGGGTTTCCCGCCGAGCTACCAGCAACAGCAGGCCCCTACGCGGCAGCCAATCCGCATCAAGGGCTCTGGCGGCGCACTCCCACCAACCAACCCAGGCTCCCTTGGGGCACGGAGAACCCAAAGCCAACCTCAGCTTGCTTCAGGCTTCCCCTGGAAGAAAGCGGGTTCGAGAGAGCAAAGCTTACATTTTAATCCTGAAATGTGTAGGTGAAGATTTTACGATAAGGAAGATCATCTGGGGTAAATAGAAAATTCCAGTGGCACGAATCTGACTAAAGCAAACTCGGGATCATGTTTTATTTAACACCGTTAAGCTATTTCAGTCAGTTCTTTTCCTTCAGTTTCTTCTTTGTCCCCTAGGGCAGGTCCATTATACAGCATGACATTGACCCGCCCCAGGGTTTTTCTCTTACTCCTGGTTCTATGACTTCTATCCCATGACAGTATCCTCAAAGCTGCCAATCTTTGTTGACTCCAACTCATGGAGACCATAAAGGATGAACAAGTTGCGGATTTTCAACAACCAGCAAAATTTGTTTTGTTTTCTGTGGAAATAAATCTAAAAATCGTCTCCACTATCTCAGAAGGAAGGTTGGACAATCTACTTCTGTAGTGATACCGCCTCGGAAACCCAAGGAGGGGTTGCTATGAGTCGGGGCCGACTTGACGGCACACATGTTTAGGTCTACAACACGGAATAAACCAAGGCTGTTTTTGTGATAAAAGGAAGGGACGGGGGGCCCTGATGGTGCAGTGGCGAAGCGCTGGTTAACAGAAGAGCTGGAAGTTTAAACCCACCACAGGAGAAAGATGTGGCCCTCTGCTTCTTAAAGATTACAGCCCTGGAAACCCTATGGAGCAGTTCTACTTTCATAGTATCGCTATCAGTGGGAACAGACTCAACAGCAAGGTTTTTTTTTTTTTTTAAAGGAAAGGGGGAATTTTACCAATGGAATTACTACATCACATTTTAATGAGCACTTCCAATAGTAAGCCCAAATATCTTCAATCCACATGTGACAGAAATCTTGCAAGGCAGAAAGGCCAAGAAGGTAAGGAAAAGAGATTAAGGGGAGAGATACAGCTAAGAGGCCTGGACAGTCTGTCCACAGCACCCGGAGTCCCTGGGTGGTATACATGGTTAGGTGCTGGGCTGGTAATTTAAATCCACCTAGGAGCTCTGGTAGCATAGTGGCTAAAGCACTTGACTGCTAACCAGAAGGCTGGCAGTTCAAACCCACCAGCCACTCCTCGGAAGGAAGGTTGGGCAATCCTACTTCCGTAGTGATACTGCCTCGGAAACCCAAGGAGGGGTCGCTATGAGTCGGGGCCGACTCGACGGCACATAACAACAACAACAACAGAGGCTCTTAGCAGCATAGTGCCTGAAGCACTTGACTGCTAACCAGAAGGCTGGCAGTTCAAACCCACCAGCCACTCCTCGAAAGGAAGATAGGGCAATCTACTTCCATAGTGATACTGCCTTGGAAACCCAAGGAGGGGTCGCTATGAATCATGTCTGACTCGACGGCACATAACAAGAGGCTCTTAGAAGAAAGCCCTGGCAGTCTACTTTGGAAAAATCATAGCCACTGAAAACCCTGTGGAGCTCTCAATTCTACTCTGACAGACGTAGGGTTGCAATGAGTCAGAACCTACCCCATGGCAATTGTGTTTTTTTTTGTTTGTTTCTTCATTTGGTCCACAAGAATCACTCATATGCCAGTCTACAGGTTACAATGTCAACATTTAAGCACAAGGATACAGACTCTTCAAAAGTCAAGTCATTTTAGTATTTTTATAAATTTATTTTAAAAAATAACAATTGCAATGACATCAATGATAATTTTCCTGTACTCCCCCTACTGCTGGGGGAAAAACCCTCTATATAGTTGAGTCCCAAAGGAAAATCAAGACATTATTATCAGGCACCCAATAGCCAGAAAATGCTCTGTTGGTCCAGTCGTATAGACACTGACATGTTCAATGTACCAGTGCAATTAAAAATATATACAATTATCCTGCAAAAAGAGAGTGCTCAAGAGGTGAGTTAGTAGCATTAAACCAAGCATTCATTCACCCATTCTGCACTCATCACTACAGTCATAAGGACAAATGAGTAAAAGAACTTCTAGTAATAACAACAACAGAAAACCCAAACCTCAAACCTCCCCCTTTGTGGGTTATTATCATATGCTAAAAAAAACCCACAAAAGGATAATGAGTTACCTGAAACACAATGACAAAACAACTGAAGCATTTCATTTCAAAAAAATTTTAAACTTATTCCTCCCCACCAAAAAAATCAAAATTCAAGAACAGTGAGGTTGATAGTATTATTGTACAAACTTACAGACACAAATAAATAGCATTTTAGAACTGTTCTTGGCTTAAGCACTAGAGATTATGTCTGAGGAATTTCTTTCTGAACTCTGCATTTTCAAGATTCCTAAACTAACCAAGAGATACAAATTCCTCATTTTTAGTAATTTTTTTTTTTAAAAAGGGTGTGTGTGTGGGTGTTTAACATTGAATAAAGTTAGCATCTGAAACTCATGTAAAGAGCCCAAAGTTTCTAGTGAGCCTACCAAAGGGCCAGCCTCTCCTGACATCTGGAAGTTAGGACAGATTACTACATTCCAGGGACTAGGAAAATACTTCACTTCCTGTTCCTTTGCATAGGTCTGTACTTCTATTTCTATAATTACAATAATCTCCTTTGTGACACTTTCTTTAGAGAGTTTACTATCTTTTCCCTCTAAATACAATTAGAGTGAAGTAAAAAATGAAAGAACCAATCTTTACTCTTGGTATTAAATCAACCCTAATGTTCTTCGAAGAATTGTGTTTTCTTTCTTGTTCCAGAGAAGGCAGTAACTCTTCTGGAATTATCATCTTAGTTCTCTCCAGGGTTCAGCTTTGAGAGAAAAACAGCTTTCTGAAGCACAACCCATTCTGGAAACTACGGCTCAGTTCCTGACCCTGCAGGAATTTCCATTTCCAGTGTGCAGGTTACCCCAGAGTGCAGAGGTAGTTTGAAAACCTTTCTGCACAAGGCCTATGGAAAAACGGGAAAACAATGGGACACCAAAGAAATCAGCTGCCATGGGAAGAATATTTGCTCTTGGGCCAGCACAAAACACTGCAGGAGTGAAACCAAGATTCACCTCAAGCTCTAGTAAGTAACCAGGAATATGTCGAAGCCAGCTTGATTGAACAGTGCTTTCCAGAAATTGTCAAGGACTAAATCTCCTGTCTCCCTTTCCATGGTTACTAAAAGGTTTTAGTGTGAATGTAAATTATTCTCTTCATCTTAATGATTCACCCCAGGGATCCACTGGAGAAGCAGGCTATATGACAACCCATAGGTATACATATACTAACTACTCTTTCTTTCTCCTAGGTGGAAATGCACACAAACCCCTGTATTCCTCAAATGCTACCACAGTCTGTGATTAAAAATCTCTAGTTTTGCTGTTTGGAATTTAACTATAGATATCCGCAGCACAGAAGCTGTGCTTTAGTTTTCTACTTAGAAAAGGCAGCTTCAAGGTTCAATACCCTCTAACTTTGTCTTAAAGTAGCCATAGTTAAGAAGTATGGGCCAGAGGTCTTCTCAAAAGAAGCAGACCACAACTTGTCAAAGCTGAAATAAGAGATTTAGCAATGTGACTATTAAGTGCTTAAGACTTTTTCATTCATTCCTAGAGTTAGGTTTTTCTGGGCCAGAGTCCCAAAATACCAATATACCATCTGCGGAGACAGAAATTCTTATTACTACCACAGATTACATGAGTTTTATCTCAGAGAATTTATTGTTTCCATATCAAAAGATGGAACTTCTTTGCCTGGAAGTCATCTCTGAATACAAAGTGTCCGTAGTTAATTAAGACTGAAATCCCACCAGAGGGCTGGAAACTGTCTAACCAAATTCCTATGGGAAAGAGTGGGCTGTGGATTCCCTGTTTGCAGTTTAGGTTGAGAAGGTTGCTCTTCTCCGTTGAGATGGGTGGCTGGCTTCATCAAGTCAATATAAGTGCTGTATTTGGTACTGCTGGGCTGGCATGGGTCCCTTGTATCATCCTAATTTATGAAATGTCAATGTCATCAACAGTCTGAAATAGGTCCTGACTGAATGGGTGAGACAAAGGCTTGCAACTTCAAACTGGCAGACATTGCTGCAATTATAATACTGAGCCACTTATTAAAAACTAAGTGGTTTCTGTCCTATAAAAAAGGACAGAATATGATTATGAGTGTCCCATCAGAAGAGTTGACCAATTTCCTGGAAAAGTGGCAAGGAATATGACCTCAATCAGCTCCATCACATGACCTGGGGTTAGGACACTCGGATGATCTGTGTCATTGCTTCTTCATCTGCTTGGTTGGGATCCTAGAGAAAAAGAAAGCATAATGATTAAATTCTTTGCAAAAAAGCAACAGGAAATTCTTGGCTCTCACTACTTATCATCAAGGGAATACACAGAACTTCCCCAAGTAAACCAAATGCTTCTAATGTGTCTAAGTTTGCATGTATTATTTAAAACCGTTTCAGTTCCATTAGGAGAGAACAGACCCTAAACCCTATTCTTGAAAGGACATCTGACCCACCTCCCATTATCAAATACTCCAGAGTTGAAAGTGCATCTCTTGCCTAAGCACCCTGTTTTAGAGTTATCAGGTGACTGAGAAAAATACCCAGAAAAACCATGTCATCCTGTAGTTTTGTACCATTATTTTCTGATTATCACATTTTAATACTAAACAGGACTGGAAAGAATTTATTTACTTTAATGCACACATTTTGTAGATGAACTGAAGCCTTGATAGGTAAAGTGATTTGCCTGGACTAGAGTCAGAAAGTTAGGAGCTCTGGTAGCATAGTGGCTAAGACACTTGCCTGCTAACCAGATGGCTGGTGGTTCAAACCCACCAGCCACTCCTCGGAAGGAAGGTTGGGCATTCCTACTTCCGTAGTGATACTGCCTCGGAAACCCAAGGAGGGGTCGCTATGAGTCGGGGCCGACTCAATGGCAAACAACAACAACAACAACAACAACAGAGTCAGAAAGTTAGTCAGGAGCCCAAATCTCTTGGTTCCTCATTCAATTACTAAACTAACCTCCTGCCTCTCACTTAATACCTGCTGTTTTAAGGCAAGGATCAGCCCCTGGAAGTTTTTTGCAAAAGTTGACAATAACCACCTATAGTTCCCCATACCAAGCCTCTGAAGCCTCAATTGGCAAGTTCAGAGAAACAGCAGAAAGAACTATGGAGGTGGTAAGATTGGAGCCAGGTCTTGAACAATCAGCAAGAACAGTAACCACACCATTTACTAAGCACTAATCGTGTGCTGGGAGATCTGGTAGCATAGTGCCTAAGGCACTTGATTGCTAACCAGAAGGCTGGCGGTTCAAACCCACCAGCCACTCCTTGGAAGGAAGGTTGGGCAATCTACTTCCGTAGTGATACCGCCTCGGCACCCCAAGGACGGCTCGCTATGAGTCAGGTCCGACTCCATGGCACCTAACAACAACAATAATTATGTGCTAGATATCATACAAAACAGGTGCTCTGTGGATTATTACATGACATCCTAATGTTCCTGTGAAGTACTTAATAGTATTCCACTTTACAGACAGAAGAAAGTGAGGCTAAAAGAAGTTATGCAGCTTGACTAAGGTCATACTGTTAGCAAACAGAATTAGGAAAGGTCTGGTATAGTACATGTCCATAATCGACATGAATGAACAGCAAGAATAAAGGAGGGGCTCTCAGATGACAGATAAGGAATAATAAGCATTGCTGAAGGAGTTAGTGTTTATGTGTGGGCTGAGGAAACCTAGTCTGACTGTTAAGGGGGTGATGAGACAAAGTTGCTTAGATGTCATACAGAAAATTTGACCTTTGATAGAGTAAGAAACAATGTATATCTTTGAACAGGGAGCTGACATGACTAAAAAACCGGACAGACCAAAAAAAACTTAATATAGTATCTTACAAACACTGATCTGGAAGGATGCAGAAGGTCAATTATGAGGGGAGAGGAGATCAATTTGGAGGTTATTCCAGTAGTGCAGATGGGCTGTGATTTTCATACAGAATGAATGTAAATGGGAAGAATTCATTAACTCAATAAATATTTACTGACTGAGTGCCTCTTCTGTATTGGGCACTATGCTAAGTGCTCAGAATACAAAACAATTCTCTACCCTCCTCAGAAGGAGCTCTGATGGTACAGTGGCTAAAGCATTAGGCTGCTAACCAAAAGGTTGGAAGTTTGAACCCACTAGCTGCTCCATGAGAGAAAGATGAAAGCAATCTGCTTCTGTAAAGATTTACAGCCTTAGAAACCCTATAGGGGCAGTTTTACTCTATCCTAATGGGTCACTACGAGTTGGAATCAACCCAATGGTCGCATGTTTGATTTTTTTATTTGGACTCTATCTTCGGAGCTTGTAGTCTAGCTTATAAGCTAACAAAGGAGAGACAGCTATTGAACACTTAAGAAAATACTTAAAACAATTAAATTATTTATCATATTCTAAAGAAAAGCAAGCTGTTTTGAGAAAATAATAGCATAGAAGGGACTCTTGATAGGGTGATGGTCAGGGATAGCCTCTCAGATTTAAGCCCAAAACAAACATATAAGGAGTTAGCCATGCAAAATGATGGAGTGAAGAGCTTTGCAGACTAGAAATTTGAAGGACAGAAAAAAGAGTAGCATGACAAGGGCACAGAAACCAAAGAGCAGGAAGAAATGGAGCTAGAGGTGGCACGAGCTAGATCATGCAGGACCCTGTCAGCTATGGTAAGCGTGCTGCATTTTAGTCTGAGTGTGCAAATGGGAAAGGGCAGGGAGGCCCCTTAAGCAGGGCAATGACAAGATCTGATAGACATTTATAAAAATCACAGTAAGATGGAGAGAATGGAACAGAAGGGGACAAGAGTGGATGAAGGGGGACCCCTAGGCACCTGTTATCCTAATCCAAGCAAAAGAAGAGAGGCTTAGACCAGCAGATGACAGCTGTAGGGAGGGAAAAAGTAGACTGAAATGGGTAAATGCTGAATTTATGGGTAAAAAAAACAAAAACAAAAACAAACAAAAATCCCTGTTCTGGTTACCTAATGCCGCTCTGACTAGCATATACCACAAATGGGATGGCCTTAACAAACAGGAGTTTATTCTTACAATTTGGAGGCTTTAAGTCCAAGTTCAAAGTACCAGGGTCTAGGGGCTGGGTGAAAGCCCCTCAACCTTGGGGTTTCAGCTCTGCCTCCTGCTCCCGGCCCCCTGGAGCTAGAGGCATTTCTTCACTCAGACGGCTGCTGAGGCTGCCAAGCCCAAGGTTGGCAAGTAAAAAAGCACAGTCCCAATGTTACCAAACCACATAGCAGGCCATTAATTCAAATCCATTGTTAAGTCCCAAGGTCAGCAGAGCATGGCAAGCTGCTGATCAACAACACGGGTACATGCAGGGTCAAAGCATGCCACAGGCTAGAGACCATTCTCAAAGCTTCTCCTTATAGGAAGCAGACCACATCCCAAAGGCAGCTACTTAGCTGCTTGTGGTAGATCCTACCATGGAGATGATTGCTAGTCTCATCATGGGGAATTAACTACCAACAGCTACCCAGCTACTCAACCGGGCCCACCCAAGTTGACACACAAACATAACTACCACAATCCCAGAGTTCTATTTTGGATATACTGACTCAGAAATGCCTACAAGATAAAAACAGCAGAACTTAATGTTAAGAGCTAGTGCAGTATAGTAAACAGATACACTCCGAAATGAAATTGCCTCTGTTGTACCATTTATTAAGCATCTTACCTTTAGCAAATTACTTAAGCTCTCTAAACCCAAGATTCTTCATCTGTAAAATGCAGGTAATAATTCCTACCTAACAGGGCTTGAAGTTATAAAGAGTCAATGAAAAAGAAAAAGAGCTGATAAAAGTGCTTAACATGGTATCTGGTACATAAAAGTAAGTGTAAGTTGCTGTTGTTTCTACTACACTAAGAGTCAATAAAACTTCTTATTTCTTGAAAAATCAAAAAAGTGAGAATTTAAAAAAGGAATTAATAGTAATAACTTGAAAAGACAATAAAGAGGGAACAAAAGCCACTGGAGTAAATGCTTTCAGTGGGTTTAAGAACAAAGAGAATCTAAGAGACACGATGTGGTACTCAGTTTTGTGAACTTGATTAATTCCTGAGTGTGGTAACAGCAAGAAGATGGTGCTGAAGTGTTCAACACAAGAAAAGAATGCAATAAAAATAAAAGGTATAAATCTTTTTACCTGCATATGAGGACTATCTTTTTCCTTTGGAGAGAAAAACCGTCCACCTTCACCGCGTTTCCGTGCCATGGCATGACGATGCCGAGACTCATGCAGGTATTTCTAAAACAAGAGGAATAAAGGCATCTAACTACTAGCCAGGCCAGTATAGTTAACGTCCAAATCCCATCCTCAAAAATGTCAAAGTTGTAACCAAATGCATAAGAAGTAATGATGACTGAATTTATGGAGAAAGCTTTGGAGAAAATACTAGAAAGCAGCTAACAATGTAATACTACCATATTAATGTAATTGCTAAATGAATAAAAAAAATTGTTCCCCAAAAGCACAACAGAGATCACTGCCTAACTCCCAATATACACTCCCTTCCCACCTTCTGTTTTAATAGTAGAACCAAATTTTTATTGGGCTGCTTAATAAAAAGACTGCTTTTCTTAGCCTTTCTCATAGGTTAAGTATGGCCGGGTAACTAAGTTCTGGCTGATGAGATATAAGTGGAAGTATAATACAGAACTTCCTGAAAGTTACCTTCGCTCCTAGACTAGAGATTGAGCAGCTATGTTGTACCATGAAAATAGCACACTAAGAATAGCACACTAAGAATATCAGAGTAGTAACACAGAAGGAGAATGGGTCTTGAGAAATGTGAACTGTCTCACCAACCCCAAACAATTTACTCCTGGGGTTCTTTTATGTACGAAAAAAATGAAATCTTGCTTAAGTCACTGTTATCCAGCTAACTTAACTTCAATTATTTGCAAACTACTTAAGGAGACAAACCATACAGAAAGTAATTTTAAAAGCAGAACCCTGCCGTTCTGTTCTATATCCTCCGAACGTTATACACACCCTTCTTTCCTTTGGAATTTTCCCTTCTGCCTCTAGTTTAGCCCGGGCTTGCCTCCTCTTCAGAATACGGTGGTACTGTTTGGCATTCACATAGAGAGGCTCTTCTTCAAGCATCTCTGCCCCAGGTAGAGGGATTCTTTGGATAGCAGGCACAGAGCCAGTCCCAGGCACCATCTGTATGAAGAGGAAACCAGAGCTTATTAGCGATGTAACTGTGGACATTAGTGTCTCAATCCCTGTTAATCTATTTTCTGAACGCTACAAACAGTAGCTTTTATTGGGCACTTGTAGGTTCCTTGGCCCAACTACAGGCAATGTTTATACTTTAGGTATGCATTTGTAACAAACATCTTGGACATCACAGGGAATTCAGGAGCCACTCAGAGAAATGACACAGACCATGTCCTAACATAGCTTCATTTCCTAGGGTTGTCTGCTGCCATCTAATGGTCAGGAACTGTATTCACAGGACGATTACCCACTGACGACAAGTTGATTTGGACTCATAGTGCCCACGGGAGAGAGCGGAACTGCTCTGTGAGGTTTCTGAGGCTGAAATCTTTATAGAAGCAGACTGCCACATCTTTCTCCCATGAAATGGCTGGTAGGTTTGAACTGCTGACCCCTCAGCAGCTGAACACTTTAACCACTATACCATAGGGCTCCTCCGTAAGACAATAAAATATTACAAATGAAGGTATGGATATACTGACCAAGTGCTATTAAACATGAACATTTATGTAAATAATTAACTAACTTACTACATATATTCAATTCTCATTTTTTTTTTCTAAACAACAAAACATGTACTCTATGTTGTAAGGAAAACAGTAACAGATTCCTGTGCCCTAAGCCTTCCCAAACACAACCAACTACCTTTGTGTAGGCTTGTACCACTCATTCTTAATTTATCCATTTTTAGGCACTGTGTATTGACATCCTATTTTGACATGTGAGGATTTAGATTTCACTCACACCCCTCAACTCTCTCTTTAATATATACAGATATAATTTTTATTTTATTTTATAAACTTCTTATTTTTTTAGCTTATTTCTTGTTTAACCTACTACAGGTACTATCTTTACTTCCCAAAGATCAATACTCCACCTTCTTTCATTTTTCGGAGTTCCAAATCAGATTACATAGTCAGGTATTTTCATCTCTTAATTCACCATTGTACCTCCAGTATCTAGAATGGTCCTTGACACACAGTAGGTGCTCAGAATAAATTATGGTCCATAGTAGTATTTAGTGTAAAAGTTGATCTCTGTAACTGCCTTTACAATCAATCTCAGTCCCACAAGGTCAAGAGTATAAGCATTTTATTAAGAAACCTAAACCAAACCTAGGAAGCTCTGGTGGGATACTGGTCAGCGGTTTATCCCACCAGCTGCTCTGTAGAAGAAAGATGGGGCAATCTATTTCCATAAAGATTTACCACCTTGGAAACACAACAGGGGTCACTATGAGTTGGAATCAACTTGATGGCAGTGAGTTTTTGTTTTGAAACCAAACCTATTGTTGCTGAGTCACCTGCGACTCACAGTGACCCTAAAGGACAGAGCAGAAATGCCTCGTAGAGTTAATGCTGTAAATCTTTACAGAAGCAGACTGCCACATTTTCCTCCTGTAGCATGGCTGGTGAGTTCTTTTGGTTAGCAGGTGAGCACTTAACCACTGCGCCATCAATGCTCCTTGGTTTTGTCTGGTTTTACATAAAAATGCAATTTCGAGAAATATTCAAAGACCAAAGAGATACACAGAAAACTAATTTATAAGTGAGAAGAGAGAACTAAAGAATCTTTTCTCTTACCATGACCATCCCTCCTGAATTGACCACATTGCCTGCCACTGGCAGTGTCACAGTGACAGTCCCTTGCCCACTGCTTGTAGTGTTGGTATTGGCTCCTGTCTGAACAATCTGGGCTCCTGCCAAGCTGGCTGCTGGGATGGTGATCATGCCTGAAACAGGGACTGTAACTTTAAGAAAATAAAACATAAAACAAACAAAAAACAGGCACACAGAAACAAGGGAACACAGTTAGTCCCTCTTCTATCTGGCACATACTCATTCATTCTGAAAAAAAAAAAACAAACCCTAAAAAGCAACAGAGGAGAAAAAGCACTCTCCTACTCTCTGCCTGGTTTGCTATATATACACTCCAAGAAATCACAATCTGAAATTCTATTAACTGTCTGGGTCCCAGTTATTAGTAAATCTATTATTATAATTGCTATTTTTCTGAGCATTCCATTAATTAATTAAGTTTTCAAAGGGAGGTGAGAAAGTTTGAGGGCCTCCCTTTCTGTACTCACTGTTCTTGTACATATGAACAATCTGCTTCAATATGGCAATTTTGTAAACTTACAATTTGTGTTTTCCAAACTGACGAGTTAGTCAGCTACATGACTGAAAAATCATAATTAAACCAAGCATTCTGAGTTACTAAACTATTAACAGACGGCATAAGTTATCAAAAAATACCACAAAATTGCTTTTAAAAAATCTTAAGCAGCATCAGTTCACCTGTTCTATCTGAGCTCTTCCCAGGAGTCAGTTCAGTTCAGGCCCTCTCCTGAGTCTTAGGAAAACACATTGTTACTGTAATCTTTGGATCTTGTACACTACGAATACTTTAACCTCAAACTTTTAGTCATAGAACCTAACTAAAATATGAGCAGATGTTTTTAGATTTAGCTGATAAATGCTTCTGAAAGCCCTCAAGTCCAGTTCAAAGATGTCCTGCTCTCTGAAGTCCATTCTCCACCTCCCAATCCAAGCAGATTTCATTCATCTCTTCCTTATTAATGCATCACCTGTTCCTAAAACATACTTTCATAGGGGCCCTGCATTGTATTTTTTTATTCACATATATGCCTCCCTCACCAGAATACAAGCTCTTTGATGACAGAATCTCTCTCAATAAAGTGCTATGTCCATTAAAAATAATGACTCATTGCTGTCGAGTTGATTTTGACTCACAGCAATACTTAAGGACAGAGTAGAACTGTCTCAAAGGCTATAATCTTTATGGAAACAGATTGACTGCCACATCTTCCTCCCACAGAACTGTTGGTAGGTTTGAACCACCAAACTTTTGGTTAGTAGCAGAGTGCTTAACCACTGTACCACCAGGGCTCCTTGCTGTGTCCATTACAAAAACAAAACAAAACAAAAAAAACAAACAACCGAACCCACTGCCATCTGGTCAATTATGATTCATAGTGAAACCCATTGGGTTTCCAAAGCTGTAAATCTTTACAGAAGTGGACTGCCTCATGGTCTTCCCATGGAGCAGCTGGTGGGTTTGAATCACTGACCTTCTGGTATGCAGCCAAATGCCTTACCCACTACACCACCAGTTGTGTCCACAGTAGGTATATAATAAGTCTTTTTGGAATAAATGAATAATGGAGTGATTGAAGGGGTGGGAAGGGGGTAAGAAGCAACAGCACTGTAAATGCCAACTTGATTTCTGATCAATTTCTTCCTCAACCAATAAAGAAACCTTGTATTTCCAATCTTCTATTTAGATATTTTTCTCCCCCAAAGAGCAGGCTTACATAATCAACAGGATCAATCTTTTAGCACCTACGGTAGGAAAAACTGAAAAACTACAGGAGGAATCACTGAAGCAGTGAATTAATCAAGGGGCACAAAAGAAGTCCAGTGAAGTCCATGGAGCCTTAAGGGTACCTTACCCTGTTGGAGGATAGTGCCATCTGCATTAACTGGCTGATAGACTATGGTCTGTCCTTCAGCAGTCTGTGCCACTTGCTGCCCTTGGACAGCGATTTGCTGCTGTGTCTGTAGGAAAGAAATCACATCACAATTTAATACATTCCAAAGACACCACAAAGAAAAGGACCATGCAGTATTTATTTATTTATTTTTAAACCATCTTTTTATGGTCTTCTCATAAATTGATTCTGACACTACAGGACAGAGTAGAACTGCCCCATCTTTCTCCAGAATGGCTGGTAGGTTCAAACCTCTGACCTTTTGGTTAGGAGCCAAGTACTTAACCACTGCACCACCAGGGCTCCTCTCACTTGTACTATACATGAAGTACTTGGCTCAGTTGTCTGACCCTTCTGTATCAGTTGTGCACCTGTACTGTAGAATTACCTGAGTCTGGCCGGCGGTGACGGCTGTCTGGGGTTGCTGGATGATTATCTGCTGGGTCTGGCCCTGTTGGCCCTGTACCTGCACAGCCTGTCCCCCTTGGATCTGGATCTGTCCTGGTGGGACCAACTGTATCTGCAGAAGAAAACATAAAAGTATGTTAATTTAAAAACATCCTGTTTTTATAGATGAGATATTCTACTTACTCAGAATAATTCCAGGGGAGTATAGATGAAACAAGCCTAATGTTAATAACTACTGAAGCTATGATACACAGTGGTTTCATCATACTGTTGCTCTCTTTGTTTTCATCTTTGAAATTTTTTCTGTAACAGAATGTTAAAAAAAAAAAAAAAAAAAAGCTATTTCCAGTTTTTCCAACTCTAAGCTGGAATTCTATAGATTAAATGTACACACGTTTTTAAGCATACAAGTGTTGATGCTAGCTGATTAGACACCTATGTAGTCACCATTCAGATTTAAGATATTAACATTATGCCATATTTGATTTATTTAACATTTCCCTTCCACCTCAAAGGTAATCACTATGCTAAAATTGGTGAGTATCCTTACAGAGCTTATTTTATACATTTGCATCCATATAAATGATACTATTCTGTGTATTTTAAAATATTATATAAATAATACCATATTGTGGTATCCTAATCTTTGTGCAGTGTTTTTCAGTGAACATTATTTTCAAGATAACAATGAAACAGTTCAACTAGCCAGCTGAAATAGAACTAGTTTACTCATTTTAATTGATGTAAAATACAACGGAGAATTATACCATAATATATTCATCCATTTCTCTTAACATTTGGGTGGTTTCCAATAATTTCACTTCTATAAATTAACAGCTCAAATAACGTTTCTTTATTCAGATGTGTGAGTTTCTCATGAAGACAAGTACGGTAAATTATGGGACATCATTTCTGAGATGAGCTTACAAAAAAGATTGTGACATCCATTTGGCTGGCTATTTCTTACTATCTTCAGCCACACCTGAGGCACTTATAACTCATGTAACTGAATTTGGAAATAGCATCTACCCCAGTTGAGCTCTGCAGTGACTTCAGCCCAGGCTGCTATCTTGATGAGGGCTTTATGAAAGACCATGAGTCAGAGGACCTCATTATGCCAAGATACCTGACCTATGAGAACTGTGAGATAAGTTATATTCCCCCTGGTTCCTATTTTCCAACATCTTTACCAATACTTAGTTGTCATACTAGTATCTGCCAATCTTCTGTGGATTTAATTTGCATTTCCCTTATTAACTAGTGAGAGTGAGCAATGTCTACATGTATCCCTTGCTATTCAAATCTATTTGGTTCCTGGGTTTGTATAACAGCTAAATGTCAGATAGTAATTTTGGATAGTATCTGTGCTTCTTGAATCTATTCCATCCCTGCTTTCAGATACCAAAGAATACCTATTTTTCTTGGCCATTAGGGTTCCCTCTTCTGTCAATTTGTATCTTTTGCTCATTTTTCTATTGGATTATTTTCATACCAATACTTTAATTCTTTGTATGTTCTACATACAAATCCATTATATATGCTAAAAATATCTTTTTGTCTGTATCATGTCTATTACCTTTACTTACATTGTAATCTATCTACGTTTTTATTTCAAAGTAGTCAAATCTGTATGTTTTGTAAGTATTTAAGAAAGCCTTTAAGAAGTATCTTATATGTCTACCACTTGAAACCAAGAGGGCAGCATTTGCTCAAAAACAAAGCTCAGAAGGCAGGAAGGAGCAAGAAAGGATGAATGGAAATGGGGGAACCCAGGGAGGAAGGGGAGGAGTGCTGTTATAATGAAGGGATTGCAACAAATGTCACAAAACAAAATGTGAATAAACTGTTGAATGGAAAACAAATTTACTCTGTCAACTTTCACCCAAACCACAATAAAAAGTCAAAAAAATAAAGTATCCCACAGAATAAAGCAAACTTTCTTGAATTTTCTTCTAAAAGTTCCCAAGTATGCTTTTCTACATTTAGATATTTAATTTCTCTAGCAAGTATTTTTGTATACAGTGTTGAGTCAGAGATCAAATTTCTTTTTATCATTACCAAACCATCTGTCCACTGATTATCACTTTTGTCATATACCAACTTCCAATATTCTTGCAGTTCTCTAATCTGATTCCACTGTCTGTATCAACCCAAGGTTTTTCATCTAAATTTATACACAAAATTTCACATGTATTGGGGTATCTGCATGTAAAAAACAAAAAACAAAAAACAAAACAAAACATGAGAAGGCATACACTTCATGAGAATGCTAACAGGGATAATGCAATCCTAGAAAGGTTAAGAAGTACTCATCTAAACGGCTAGTCAAAGAATACTAATGAGAAGTAACCTCCTTCGCAAGAGGAATTAAAATCTTAACTGTTCTAAGAAAGGCTGAAGCCTTATATATGTAACCAAAAAAAACTTTTTTAAACATCAAACCCCAAAACCAACAATACTACACACATACAAATCACAGAAGTTAGAACTGCAATGAACCCTGGAAATCACCTGATATAAACTGCAATTTTCGATGAGAAAAATTGACTTGGGCAAGATCAGAAAGCTTGTCTAATGGCAGACCTGGGAATGAAAGCTGGGTCGCTTCATTCAGGATACTGCTCCCAGCACTGTATCAGACTGCTTCTATTCAACAGTGCAGAGGAAGGCGTGGCAATAGGGGCTGCAAAGGAGGTGATCAGGAAAGACAGACATGAAATAGCACATGAAACTGAGGAAAGCACACTGAAAATATATTTCAGTACTCATACATTTATGCATGAAGCAATGTGGAAACAACAACAACAACAAACTACCATTCTATCTTGCCAAAAATATGCTAAGAGCCTTAAAAATGCTTTTACCCTTCGCCCAAACAATTCCATCTCCTCAATGAAACTGCCCTAAGAATTCAATTGAAAAATAAAACTTTCATGCTAAAAAATATTTGTAGTAACTTCGTCTATAAAAAAAGCAAAGCAAAACAAAATACCAAAAAATCCCTAAACATACTATAAAGTGTAAATTCTGATTCATCAAATTGACTGGCTATTATGAAGAGATTTAAGATGTTAACTGAGAAAATCATGCTGATATAAGTTAATTAAAAAAGGGGGGGAAGCAACGAAAGCATATGCATGCTACAATTATGCCTAATAGGTATGCACAGAAATTACAAGGCAATATGCAAAAATAACAGTTGATTTTAGAAACAGAGTGATCATGGCCTGTATTTTTCAACTTAATAATTTCCTCCAGAAAAACAAAGACATTAATGTGATCACTGTCACTATTAATACAAAAGACACTGACACAGAAGTTAGTTAATAGTTCTCTCCCACACCCTGTTACATGCTCATAAACATATATACTCATAGAAAGAGGAGAGGTGAAGCAGGGGTTAAGTTTGGCAGTTTATTACAAACACAAAATCATATAGTATATATTTCTTTGCAATTTATTTTCCACTACAAATACTTTCATATTTATCACCACTCCCTCTCCCTGGTCAACAGTTCATATTTTTTAACAATGACATAATACTCCATAGTATGAATATAGCATGATTTATTCAACCATTCCCCTCTAAATGAACATTCAAATTATATTAAAAAAATTTATAAATGATGAAATAACTGTCTCTGTACATGTCTCACTACATATTAATGCTTTCTTCCTATAGGATATTCTCAAAAGTAGGACTATTAGATCTAAAGGATTATGACTTCAGAATTTCATATTCCCAAAAATAATACCTATATCCTTTTTTTCACATCTATTGCAGTACTGGATATAACCACTTTTTAATTTTTGCTAACTTAATGACAAAAGCTCTTCCAATTTCAAAATTTGATGCCAGAGTTGCAAGTCACACTTCTATACAGTTGTTCTTTATCTCTTCTACATCTTTCTCTTGTTTACCACCTTTGTTTTCTGCTTCTAGAATCACGCTTTGAGGGGGATTTATCTACTTTATTGGTTTGTTCAAAGAAATAGTTTTTATTTAGTCTTCCTATATATTTGTTTCCTACTTAACTAATTTTTTCTCATTTTGTTGTTCTTTCCTAACTTCTTAAAATAATTATCATTCCTTTATTTTCAGCACTCTTTTAAATAAAGAATTTAAGGTTAAAATTTTTGCCTCAATTGATTCCTTAAAAAGCTGGAATCAGAAATATCATTTGATCCAGCAATCCCATTACTAGATATATATCCTAAAGCAGTGATAGCCAAGACAACAACAGATATATACACACCCATATTCATTGCAGCACTATTTACAATAGCAAAAAGATGCAAACAACCGACGTGCCCATCTATAGAAGAATGGATAACCAAACTACAATACATATACACAATGGAATATTATGCAAAACTGAAGACTAATGTAGAGTCTGCAAAACACTGCATAACATGGATGAACTTGGAGGACACTATGCTGTGTGAAATATGAAAGGAAACTTTACTGGTTATCAGGGGTAGGAGGGGAGGGAACACTGCAAAAAAAAAAATGCATTGACCCAAGTCACTTTACTTTTGTGTATTTCACTGCATATAAGTTATATTTCAATAAAATATATTTAAAACTTTTTTTGCCCTAATTATAGTTTTAAAAGTATGAGGTGACTTTGCACTGAAAAATTTTCTTTTTATTTTCTAGATAACTCAAATTACAAATTATATTGAATAAAAAGAATATTTCTGATCAAAAACAACCATTCCAAACCAGACTGTAAATCCCCTCCTCCAGCCCCTTAGGAGGGCCACATCAATGAATTACTCTGATTAAAGTAGACTCTCACTTTATACTGATTCAAGATCATGTCTAATATCTTAGTCCTTAAGTACATTTGGGCAATCTACTTTAAGTCCCTGGGGTCTGTTGTTGGTTAGTTGCCATCAAGTCAATTCTGACTCATGGTAAGCCCAAATGTATAGAACACAACTGCACTCTACAGGATTTTAAAGACTGTGACCCTGTGGTACAGTGAATTACTTAATGTGGCCCTTCTAGCCATAGTCTTTGCAACTTTCCACCACCAAATGACTGGGTATAACTATGCAAATGAGGGGTTCTTATAGCCCACCAAAGGGACTTGATAGCTTGCTAGAAACAAAGCACCCTTGTCAGGGTGGGGTCACACAAATAAGATATAAGCAACCCAAATGTGAGGATTGGTCAGTTTTGCCATCCCTCTAAGCTTAAAATAAGCCATACCAGAGATGGAAATGGAGGATCTGACTACCACCAGAAGAAAAGATGGGAGCAGGGTGTTTCCTTTGGATCTGGGGTCCCTGCACTGGGAACCTCCTCAACCCAGGAGACAGAGAGAGCTGTAACACCGGCGAGATGGTGAGAAGAGGCAGCAGCAAAATCAGGAGACTAGTGGGAGACAGAAGCCTTGTTGGTTGCATTGGCTGCCATCTGGGGACCTGGTGCAGCCAGGTTTATCAAATCACAAGTTAGAGCTGAGTACCTTCAGGCTGAGGCTTATTGGCAGAGTGGGGGTGCCTCTGGGCACTTATTGGGAGAGCTAAAAGAACTATGTAACACTTTCCTGAGCTGGGTTGAGGTCAAGCTACCACAAGGATGAGAGGCAGATGGAGGTGTGCCTGCAAGCACAGTTGAGAAGAAGCTGTCCTGATCGAAGAACTGCATCCTGAGTAGTTTTTGATCCTGAATTGTACTATTATTCTCTAATAAGCCCCATAATCTCGAGTATTACCTGTGAGTTCTATGTAGCACTGCAACAAATTACTGAACCCAGCACAGAAGCAGAGGGCCATGGAAGGGAGAGTTGGTGTCAGAATTGGTAAAGAAGGTGGAGGATGGAGGCATGTCTGACCTCAGGAACCAGCTTTGGGCTGTTGATTTTGATCCTCCTCCCTTCTTGTGAAGTTAAGAGGAGGTTATATGATGCCCCCACACCATTTTTACAGCCCTTTTGAAAGCAGATTGCCAGGCCTTCTGAGGTGACTCTTGGTGGATATGAACGCCCTTTCAGTTAGCAGTCCAGCACTTAACCATTTGCACCACCCAGGACTCCCTCATAATGCTACAGAAGTAGAAAATGAACTAACAGGGGTGAGGGATGGGATTCAATTAAATGCCATATCAACTGTCAAACAGCTTTCAATAATCTAACATTTAAAATCTCTATTCTGACAATAGGAGCTCTGGTAGTATAGTGCTAAGGCATGTGACTGCTAACCAGAAGGCTGGTGGTTCAATTCTATTCCTGGGAAGGAAGATTGGGCAATCTACTTCTGTAGTGATACTGCCTCAGAAACTCAAAGAGGGGTTGTTATGAGTTGGATCCAACTTGACGGCGGTGAGTTTGGGTTTTTGGTTATTCTGACAATCTAAAGTTCTCAGCTACTAGCTAAAAAGTTGGCAGATCAAACTGACCATCTGTTCCATGAGAGAAAGATATGGCATTCTGCTTCTATCAAAATTTATAACCTTGTAAACCCTATTGGACAGTTCTACTCTGTCTTATAGCAGAGTTGAAATCAACTTGACAGCTGTGGGTTTTGGCTGGCATTCTGACAATCTGCCCAAACATTTTTTTTTTATACTGCTTACCTGCTGTAAGCCCTGTGTCCCAGATACAGGTACTTGCATGATGGTTTGACCTTGCCCACCAGGAACAGCCTGGACCATGATGGGTTGGCCAGTCGATGTGATTAACTGTCCTCCACTGACTTGCACCATTAATGGCTGCCCCTGGACCTAGAATGTAAAGAAATAAGAACAATGAAATAACAAGAAACACAAAAACGCTTTTACCAAAAGATATTAATTGGAATTATTCTGCTGCCTTGCTAAAAGGGGAAAAGGTAGGAGAGACACTAAGAAAGTAAGTCTTAAGTCCTCAAATTACCTTCTTCAAGTATCTGTGATATTTGGCATCTTTAGACAAAATGTCAAGTTAAATAGTTTAAACTTAGATATAATGGAATATTACTACCCAGAGTCTTTGGGAAGTCTTAATAGATATACTTATCACCAAACACAGGCTAAACCCATAATAAAGATTTAATTAAAATGTCAAAGCTATTTGCCTTTTTTAGACCAATAGCCAGGAATGGTTTCTAGTGATGGCTACAGAAGCACTAAGAAAGGTGATGGTGGTGATGGTGGTTGAGTGCAAATTCTATATTCTAAATAACCTGGAGGAACTCAATCAAACCAGCAATGACTGCAGGAGGCTGGGTGGCAAGCAGCTCTAACAGCTTATGTCCCCATAGTCTCTCAAGGATAAATAAAACGTCTACCTTTTTTTACCCTCTTTAACATTCTGAGAATTCTAGATACATTTGTGTTTAAATAGCCCATTATCAAAGACTGACTAGAGATACTTTCTTGCAATTTCCAAGGTGGACTTCCTCACAATGGATCTTATAATGTCAATGTAATTATTTTAGCTTTAATAAAAGCAACAACAAATGTTGAAATACACGGAATAAAGTATACATGTAAAATTCCCAACTTTCAAACTCTTATGAATAAACAGACTTCCCTAGAAGGCAGAGCATTTCAAGTGCTCTGTAATATCCTGAGTCTTGATTTAAAAAACACCTAACAGAATGCTTTCCGGAAGCCAAAATGTAAGCCATGTTAGAAATGAATGAGAATGCGCAAGAAACTAGAAAACAGTCCCAAACTTTCACTGTTCAGGTTCTATCATCTTTGTATTATTTGTAACAGAACATCAACAGCAAGTCTATTTATCTAACAAAATTACTTATTTATGCCAATGAAAATCTATTTAAATAATAAAGATCAACCTGTATGTCCAGTATGTATCACAGGTTAGCTATTAAGGTCCCCTCTCCTACCACCACCACCATCAATGTGTCAGAATTACCAAGAAATTCAAATACTAGGTTTTGTTAAACTATTCCTTAGAGAAACTTTACTTGACTTTTAAGTAATTTACAGCAAATTCTTATATGCCTTCTCCTTCCCTTACTTCTATATTCCTAATCAAATTCCCCTTTCGTTTTTCAGAATATTTATTGCATGAATAACTAAAAGAACTATTTAAAATAATGAGATCCCTAGAGAAAAGATTTCCAGTATTTCCATTTCTTTTAAATAAAATCTATAAGTAGGAACGACAAGTTTTAAGGTACAACTATTAATAACATTCTGGCCATCCATCATCGTACTTTCTCTCCTCATTGGCATGCTACATGTGCACACAATAAATGATCTGGGACTTGAAGAAGCCCCACTGTGTTTACAACATGTGAGTGATTACTAGGACCCATGCATCAGACAAGAAGCCATACAGTTAACAGCATGTTACATTCCCATTCCACAAAAGGTTAATGGCAATCTAAAATGTGTTTTATGTGTCAATAACATGAAGCAAGCATGAATAATATGAATAACAAGCTGTTGAACTCTGAGACTCAAATCCATCTAGGAGTAGACGCTGTACGCTCAGCATCTTTCAGCCGAATTTATGTCCAGAATTGGCTGTCTATCACCACCAAACACTACTGATGGTAGGGGAAAGAAAGCTTGAAAGCGTAAAGTGAAATGATCACAATAAGGAGCAGTTAACCGCAGGATACTTAGCAGGTCTAGTATTAAGTGAGATGCCAGTTCTACATTCCAGGTCTTATTACTCCCATTTCAATGGAAGAGAAAAAGTAAGGCATCCAAATATTGCCAATTTCTCATATATATAAAGATTTTAATTAAAGTAACCTGTAGACACAGAAGATTACTACATATAGGCACTAACCAAATTTATGACCCCAATTTGGGATATTTAACATGGCCATTGTTGTTGTTGTTATGTGCTGTTGAGTCAAACCCGACTCATAGCGACCCCTCCTTGGGTTTCCGAGGCAGTATCACTACGGAAGTAGGATTGCCCAACCTCCCTTCCGAGGAGTGGCTGGTGGGTCTGAACTGCCAGCCGTCTGATTAGCAGGCAAGTGTCTTAGCCACTATGCTACCAGAGCTCCCATACATAATGTTAAGAAATGGCTACTGATTAACTAAGAACTCTTACAATGGCCATAACACCTAAGATTTATAGAAAGCATATTCCACCCTTACCCAACCAAGAGGTATGGGGTAATCTCACAGATTCAGTAAGACAGGCCATGATTTCCCCAAGAAAAGTAGTAAAAAGGCAGCAGTTAACTAGATTAATAAGATTCAGTGATTAGAAAAACCTTGCCAAGTACAGACTTATTTTGCAGCTAAGGTGCCCTTTTAATAAAAATAAATTCTAGTTAATATACAAGCAGGTGCCCTTTTAATAAAAATAAATTCTAGTTAATATACAAACACATACATATACATTTCCTTCTTCACTATTATAATATAACCTCATGAAATTTTACTAAGCAATCTTGTTACAGAGTTTGAACTCTGAGTAGGACCTAATACCACTTCTAAGAATTTCTTCCTGTCACTTTTACCTCTTCTTCCCAGACATTCCCAAAGAAACATACAAGCGAAATGTAGTTTTCCTGAAATTGAGAGATAAGGTCACTAAGTGACTGCATGAAGCATAAGGACTCTGGCATCTTATAAGCCTCAAAGACAAGTTAGCAGCATTGAAAACATGCAACCGACTTTGCCATTCCTACTTGAGATCCGAACACAAACAGCACCCAGACATGAGGGGATGAGAAGTCATGCAGTGCTCACAGAGAATCAGAGAGGACACCACTACCTGGAGAGTCTGGACTTGCTGGCCTGAGGCGGATGCCACCTGGGCCTCAGTCTGCAGCTGGACAGCAGTGACACCACCCTGCTGCTGAGAACAGGAACAGGAAGAGCTTGAGAAGTGTCAGGAAGGAAATGTATAGTTTAAGACATGAGATCACCTTACCTCTTGTGTGAGGGGAGTCTTCTTTCAAAAGCCTCACCCTACGTAGGACTTTCAAACTGTACAGACTCACCAGTGGCGTCACTAGAGGGGTGTACGGTGTATAGACCACACCAGGTGACACTGTCAGAGGGGGTGGCACGAAAATGACTGTCTATAGAACTTTTGTACAGTGTTTCAGCACAAGTTTATTATTTTTTATAAAAATATTCCTGTAGTTACAACAACATTTTTCATAAGCCTAGCTTGAGTTTATCAATAAACTTACAAGGCTAAAACTCTATGCTGATTTACTTTTTGAACCTTCTAATATGCTCCAGTCAGAGCTGTCATTGTTATCCAATTACAATTATGTTCTGAATCATGTGGTTTCATCTGCATAGCACATGCTGTTGTTTTCTTTGCCACTAATATTTTATAGTTGTTGATTTCGTCAAATTTCCTGGTTTTAGCTACAAGCTTGCGGTCATTAGTATTTGTGGCCCTATATCAATAACTTTTTTTGAGAATGTAGTAATTAAAGGAAAAGGAGAAAAATCCAAAAAGGCTCCTGCTCAGATACTAATTTTGTAACTAATAATGCTGTACTTCAATCTAGAAAGATTTTACAAAACAATTTTGTTGTTAATATTCATATAGTCTGAAAAAAATATTACATTTAAGTAATTTACAACTGTTTATCACATATTATTATACGATTAAAATTGATAATAAACATTACTAAGGATTCTGTATGGTCTGGTAAGGGAAGAAACTCTTGGGGGAGGGGGTTTGACACCATGAGTTACTGCACTGGGTGACACCAACCCTAGTGACGCCACTAAACTCACTATACTGAAGCTGTTGTGTTGAAGATAGCAGGATCAAAGATGTTAGTTACAAAAACAAAAACAAAAACAAATTTGTAATGTAGTCTTTCCCTCCAGGAATAGGCATTTGATTCCTTTGCTTACACAGTCATTCTAATCCTCTTTTTTATTTCCTTAAATGAATTCCCAAGAACAAAGTTATCAGATTTTAACAGCCTTGAAACTACAATGAAAAATTTCCAGAGCTTTAGTGATATCACCAAGAAGGGAAGAACCAATCACCATGAGTCAAAATCATCTTCATTAGGTCACTGCTCTTATATCCCCAAACTAAGAATATTTCTACACAACTGGACTCTCATAGAAGCAATGTTTACAGTCAATCAATTTTATATCTTCTAATGGTAGGAGCTCTGGTGACATAGTGCCTAAGGCATTTGACTGCTACTAACCAGAAGGCTGAAAGTTCAAACCCACCAGTCACTTCTCAAAAGAAAGGTGGGCAATCTACTTCCATAGTGATACTGCCTCGGAAACCCAAGGAGGGGTCACTATGAGTCAGATTTGACTCGACAGCAGTGAGTTTGAGAGAGTCGTAGGTTCGGGCAGATTAAAAATCCCCCCAACCACCAGGGCACTGGTCTGAATGGAGGGGCCCTTTATAGGACTCTCCTCTCTAACAGGGCAGCTGAAGGAAGCTGCCAGAGCCATAGGAGCCATGCAAAGGGAAAGCCAGAAAGGGAGTTCAAATAAATTATCTCTTTTAATCAAGAGTAACTCCTTCCTTTGTTCAATATCCACTAACTCACTGCCATCAAGTCGATTCTGACTCACAGTGACACTATAGGACAGAGTAAACTGCCCCATAGGGTTTCCAAAGCTGTAAAACTTTACAGAGGCAGATGGCTTCATCTTTCACTCAGGAAGCAGCTGGTGGGTTCGAACCATCAACCTTCTGGTTAGCAACCAAACGCTTTAACCACTGTACCACCAGGCTTTCTTCCCTGATCAGTAGATAGAAATAATCCATCAAAACTCCCTTTGTTTTTCCCACTAACTACTTTTCTAAATTAGCTAAGTTCTCTTTTAGAAACAAAACATTCCAAGACATCAATCTTGGCTAAAGATCAAATTAAAACATAATAAATTTCTTTTCTTAGGGGGTGGGGGATAAGTGACTTTTACTAAAAAGAGGTACAAATATAATGTACCAGATGTAATCTGGGTATAAATTCAAGAAAGCAACCTATCTTTATTGGGATAAGTCAGCAGCAGGGAAAATATGTGTACATTCATAAGAGAGGCTGTCTAAATTATGAGTTTTTCAGAATAAACTCTGGTGGACCAAATCAAAGAAAAGTAGGTTTCTCAGAAGTTAACTATGTTGGTTTGTCTGTTGTAGCCAACCACTTACTATAAATTACAAACTAACACAATCAAGAAGAGAAACAACCAAACTGTTATTTAGAAACAAAACCAAACAACTCCAAATTTTTACCTGAAAACAAAGTTAAGTGTTTTGCCTTTTAAAGACTTTAGAAAAGTGGTAATTTAAGTCAGGCCCCCAAGAAGAACAGATTCTAAGTGGTCACGGACTGGATAGAGAGTTCTGAACACAGAGCACAGGAGAGAAAGCACAACAAATTCAATCTTCAAAATACACTTCAGCACAAGTCATCTAAACCCAGTAGTTGACAAATTATTGGGGGTTATTTGCCACAGAGTAATATACCAATCAATTGGGTGGTACTGTTATTAGCACCATTGCTGTGATGTTTCAAGCAAGTTTTACTTCCATACCTGCTGCTGAATCTGTCCAGCCTGCACAACAATTTGCTCTGTAGAACTATTGCTATTTGTTGTATACTGCTCCATGTTAGAATCCCGTCCACAGTGAGTTCTGCTCTGGAGGTGCTAGAAGACTGCGAACTGCACTCCTATTAGAAAGGTTGGGAGAGAAACTAAAGTGAGATTGTCAACAAAGGCCCTGCCACACAAATAACACTGATAACTTATCACTGTATTTTGTTTGCTAGAAAACAGGGTAACAAATAGGAAATACTTGTACTTAGCACCATTTTAAGGTAGGATTACAAGGGAAAATCATAAGGAAGATCCCAGAATGCTATTTTCAAAATGCTCTTCTGAAATTTTTCTTTGGCAACCTTAGGACACTATCCTTAACATTTGTTAAGCTACGATATTGCTTTGTTTCAAGGCTTCTTGAACCTGATTCCAGATCTCCAAAGTTCACTTGCTCTTTAAATTGTTCTTTAAATTCATGACAAATATTTGTTGCCTACTAGACATGTTACTCTAGTCTGCTATATTTGCTTATTGGAGTCTCTATTAAGTTACACTAAGTAAGAAAGTCCTAGCTAGGCAGTCTTGAAAGTTTAGGCATTTGCATTTCAACCAAGGGCAAGAAATATAAATAATTAATATTAATAAGATAGTTAAAGATCAGATATTATGAAATTTACAAAATTATATACTTAGGTTGTAATTTTCTCTAAAACAGTGTTAAGACTTTCCCCAGTCTTCAATTAGAATGCCTAATTATACCCCATACTTCTACAGTACAGTTTTAACTTTTCATTACAAAAATTTCAAATATATATAAAAGTAGAGAGAACCACATTAACAAATATTCATACCCATCACCCAACTTGAACAATTTTCAACCTGTAACCAAACTTTTTCATGTATATCTCACCTACTTTCCAGCCCTCCTCTGGATTATTTTGAAGTAAATCCCAGACATCAATTTTAAAAATCTTATTTTTTTTTAAAAAAAAGAATCCATCAAGTATTTCCATATGTATCGCTGAAGAATAAAGATTCTTTTGTCTGTCATTTTATCAAAATGATAATGTCTCCACAATATGTTTCATGCATTAAAAAAATTACCCAGTTCTTACTGTCATCAAATATCCCATCATTGTTCAAATTTACACTTCAGTGGAGTCCCTGTGTGCTGCTTGGCTGCTTACCAAAAGGCTGAAACTAGTCAAGTCCACCCAGAGGTGTCTAAGAAAAGCCTGGCAATCAGTCTATTTCTGAAAACTCAGCCACTGAAAACCCTAAGGAGCACAGTTCTCTGATATACATAGGGTAGATGAGTCAATGGTAACTGGTAGACTACAGTGTAGTAGATTACATGATATGGTTTTTCTAGTCATAGTATTTGCAATTCCCATTTTGCAGTGAGTAACTGAGTAGCTGCTTGTTAAAGTCATTCACCTGGAGCAACACAAAGCAATCTTCTGGGAAGTTCGCTCTCTCTCAGGTGTACAGAATTCTGATGCTGGGATTGGTTAGTTTGGCCACTCTGCCAGGCTCAAAAGGAGCCCTCCTACAGGCAGGAGTCTCTCTGACTGCTGAGAAGGGCGTGCTGCTGAGAGATGTGAAACAGACACGCTAAGAGAGAGATCGCAATGCTGAGAGAGAAACGTGCTATGGACAGAGACTGAGAGAGACTGTCAGCTGAGAGAGAGCTAGCTGACAGAGACTGAGCATGTTCTTGAACTTGAATTGTAGCCTGTTGCTTCCTGAATAAACCCCATAATCTGTGAGTTCTATGTGGCCACTGCAACGAATTTTTGAATCCAGCAGAGATGGTGGATGCCATGGGAGGAACAGTTGGTGTCAAGGTTAGGAAGAGGGCTGGGGAGTGGCAACATGTCTGGCCTCAGAGGAGCAGGCATTGGGCTGCTGAAGGTGATTCTGTCCTCCTCTTGTACAGTTAGAGGTCAGAAGCTACTGCCTCCTTGTCCCTTTAGTGCAGGTATACTGATGTCTAAAATTTACTTTAAAATGTATTAAAAAAAATAAGATTGATGGATGAATGGGTGAAGAGATAGGTATGTGATAAGGTAAGTATTGTAAAATGTTAAAAGTAAAATCTAGGTTATGAGAATACAGGTGTTTATTGTAAAATTCTTTCAACTTTATGTTGGAAAGTTTTCATAGTAAAATGTTGGGAAAATCTAATAAAAAATAATCAAGCCTATGAAAACAAGATAATCAGAATGAGATGCAGTACGAGCATTAAAAACCACAATTAAGTGACAGGATGGCTATGCCATCATAGCACAATGATCTGTGGCCTATGGTTTCTTGAACTCACTGTCCTTGTTCCAATGGAATGCTCCCCAAGCAAATTTTCCGATTTGGATTTCACGTAGAATAGCCTACAGGAAGCAAATATGATTAGCAACACAAGTAAACTTGATAGTTATTTCTCACTGCATACTGACAAAGTGGTTTTTCCACATTCTCTTCTTAACTGTTTGACATGAGGGGATGAGAAGTCATGCAGTGCTCACAGAGAATCAGACAGGACACCTAAGAGATTCTGGGTATAGAAAAGAAAATTGGATTTTCAGCCAGGTGAAGTAGCCCTGCCAGGAAGCCAACAGGTCTCTCTAAACTCTATCTTGTCTCTAACTGCAGCACACATAATTTTATTAGTTTAAGAAGCTCTGGTGGCACAGTGGGTAAGACATTTGGCTACTAACCAGAAGGTCAGTGGTTCCAACTCACCAGCTACTTTGCAGAAGGAAGATGAGGCAATATAGTACTGTAAAGATTTATAGTTTTGGAAACCCATTAACTCCTCATAAGTTGGAATCAACTCGATAGCAGTGGGTTTTGTTTTTTAACTAATAAAATTAAAGTTCACAATACAAGAGAGTATGTACGATTCCACTTTCTGAAACTCTGAAAAGATAATAATCTAGAGACAAACCAGATCAATGATTGCCTGGGACTGGAGAATGGAGAGGGAAAAAAGGGTGATTGGGAGAAGAACATCCAGAACTTTCTGGTGGGGATGAAAACGTTTTATACCTGCACTGTGGCAGTTGCACAGGTGTACAAATTTGTCAAAACTCATCAATATGTACTCTTACTTCCTGTATGAGGTTTGCCCTCATTTTTAGAAATTTGTATCTTACAAGACTAAAACAGAATTTGAAGCATATGGTAATGACTAACAAATAAAACGTCATGCACCTTGTCTTCCTCACTGATTTATCCTGGTAATATAATTTGTGGACATTTAAATTCACCAGCCACTCCTCGGAAGGAAGGCTGGGCAATCCTACTTCCGTAGTGATACTGCCTCGGAAACCCAAGGAGGGGTCGCGATGAGTCGGGGCTGACTCGAGGGCACATAACAACAACAACAGCCACTCCTTGGAAGGAAGACTGGGCAATCTACTTCCATAGAGATACAGCCTCAGAAACTGAAGTTAGGATTGCTGCTATGAGTTGGATTGGACTCGAGGGCACTGAGATTGGTTTTTTTTTTTTTTTTTTGGTATGCTTTGAAGGGTAAAATGTAAGTAGCTTCAAATTTAGTAACAATTCTCTGTTAATGAGGAAGTAACTCACCTTGGGATGCACAGCCTAATAGTGAATGTTGCTCTTCAAGAGCCTTATGTGTCTCCTTCAGTTAGCAGAGCTGCAATACAATCTGACACATTGTCTTTCCTCAAATGACACTCTGCCCAAGTTCCTGACAAAATTAAGTCAGCCAGATTTAGTCTGTCTAGCTCTTGCCCCTAACACAAAAGCTTGAACGTTTTTTCCTCAAAAAGAGACAGACAGAAAATGAGTGTGCTTATTCTGTTTAGCATGAACATTCTCTTCAGAGCATCTATCTGCATGCCTTTCGTATCACACAAGTAGACATGTTGCCAACCACTGGGAACTCATTCTGTGTGGACCTACACAGATTTTTAAAGCTAAAACTTTCAAAACCTCAAGTAAAAGCATAGGAAAAGCCCCTCGGACAACCATATTTGACCATCACTACCTAGCAAAAATAGTGCCTAAGGCACTTGACTGCTCACCAGAAGGCTGGTGGTTCAAACCCACCAGCCACTCCTCGGAAGGAAGGTTGGGCGATCCTACTTCCGTAGTGATACTGCCTCGGAAACCCAAGGAGGGGTCGCTATGAGTCGGGGCCGACTCGACGGCAAACAACAACAACAACAACAACAACCACCTAGCAAAAAAGAGTCCGTAGTTGGTACAAACAGTTAACGTGCTCCGTTGTTAACCAAATGGGGTTCAAGTTCCCCCAAGACTCCTCAGGAGAGCGGTCTGGTGATCTACTTGTGAAAAATCAGCCACTGAAAATCCTATGGAGCAGACTCGATGCCATCTAGTTACTGGTTATTGGGTAAAGACTAGAATAGTAGCTCTCAAACTTTTTGGACCATAATTTACAGTAAGAGATACGTTTCACGTACCACTATTTACCCAAGCACACATAAAAATATGTAACTGAAACATATTTATCCTCTTTTTAAATTGTGAATTGGGTGAAAGCTTACAGAACAAATTGGTTTTCCATTCAAAACTTTATACGTATTTTGTTTTATGACATTCATTGAGATCCTCACAACAGAACAGCACTCACTCTTCTCACTTCCTCCTTGTGTTTACCATTTCCCTCCTTCATATCAATTCCTGCCTTCTGAGTTTTATCCCGACTTTTTCATCTTATATGGTTATTCTAAGAAGTGAATACCTTCCTGGTATTACTGTTCACCTTACAGGCCTATCTGTCATTTGTCTAAAATTTGAGGTATGGGAGTGAGTTCAGTTCAAGGCTGTCTAAGGGCCATAGTCTTGGGGGTTCAACACTCTGTATCAGATCAGTAAACCTGGTCTGGTTTATAATACTGAGTTTTGTTCCACATTTTCTCCCACTCTATCCAAGACCTCCTATTATGATCCCTTTCAAAGTGGTCACAGTGGTAGCCAGGAACCTTCTAGTCTTCTGGTCTCAGGGTCAGAGGCTGGGGTCTATGTGGTCCATTAGTTCTTTGGACTAACTGTTTCCTTGCATCTTTGATTTTCTGCACTCTTGTTTGCTCCAAATGGGGAGATGCCAACAGCTGTATCTTAGATGGTTACTCATAAGCTTTTAAGACCCCAGTTGCTACTCACAAAGTATGAAGAATATTGTCTTTGTTGACTATGCCATATCAATTGACCTTAGTGTTCCCTGAGACAAAATTTATCCTTATGCAACCTAAGATGCACTTTGATATTTTCTATTCTATTATATATACAAAATTACTAGTAATAGTCCACTAAACTGATTTAGCAATTGACAAATAGGTCCTAACCTATGTTTGATAAAGACTAGACTAGAGAACAAAGGGCTGCCCAGGTTCCCCACCATCCTATAGAAGTTTCTGGATTGGAGCTTCCTAATTTGCTCCTTCTCTCTGCAAATGATGTACCTAGTGCCAGATATTGTTCTAAATGAGTTAAAGAGAAAAAGAAAATTCTGACCAGGATCTTAACTTCAAAGTGTCTTTAAAAGTTTAGTAAAGGAACAAAAATCTGAACTAGAACCCCAAGAAGAAACAAAGTCATATGGGAGTTTAGAGAATGGAGATTTCTTCCAAGGGGGGATAATTCAAAGGTGGCTTTAGAGAAAGGTGTATTTGAACTGCCCTAAGTGTGTGAAGGATTTAGATGTATGATAATGTGGAAGCAGTAGTGTACTTCAACTAAAGGAAGCAGCAGAAACACAAGGACAGACAAAATTTCAGCATATCAACAGCAGACTAAAAGGCCTTATTTCAAGAGCAAGCTAGAGGCCAGTCTTTAAAAAAAAAATAACCCCACAAAAATCAGGCTCCAACTTATAGCAACCCCATGTGTTAAGAGTAAAAATATATTCCATAGGGAAGCAGATCACTAGAAGTCTCTGGGTAGTTTCTAACTGCCAACCTTTCTGTTAGTAGTCCAGTACTGTTGGTGCCACCCAGCGACAGAGGCCAGACTAGTCTCTCAAATGCCTGGTTGACAAGTTCTCCCACAGACAGGTGGAGGCTCTAGAAGTGGTCGGCAAAGAAGTCACTAGACCCTAAGTGCCTTTAAAAAAAGATGTCTAGCCAAAGTGTTTGCTGGTTTTAAAGTGACCAAGGTTAAAACAGCTATTCCAAGGGCAAATACATTTTTAAGTATTTTAAAGTGGATAATATAAGGATTAAATGAATTTAGAAAATGATTAAAACAATGGCACACACACACACACAAAGCAGCTTATTTCAAAAAGTGAAAACAAAAACTGTCCTCAAAAAGTTTTACTAATGGAAAGAACACTGGACCAGGTGTTATCTGAAACTTACCATTTGTATGACTTTAGCAAATATAAAAACAGGCACCATATTCTGAAGACCTACTACATCTGCCACGGACAGCACTAGGTGTCTCACATTAGTGAAAACAATTTTTAAAGACCTAAGAGAGTAATCACCTTTTTCCACCCAAAAGTAGTCAGCCACTGTTACAGAGTACAACTCTGCAAGTCAGAAACTTGCTTTTCAATCTTAAAAAAATATACTTCTAGGTCTCTTCTACCTGAACCTCTACACAGAATAACTGTTTCCTAGGAAATCCTTAGCAAGACACATCAGGCTTTTTACCAACCCAAACTCTCCTACTGTCCACGGTCCTATCCTATCATCAGCCTCAAACATTGTGCTTCTGCATAGGCTTCTCTCTGCCAGCAATGCTGTTTTTTTGGTAAGCAATGCTCTTCCATTCTTCTGTGTCTTAAGAAATCTCATCATCCTTTAAGGCCAATTAAAAGTGCAGTGGTGTTATTCCTTTATCAAAGTTGTCAGCTCACACACAAGCGCTTCCACAAGACTGAGCTTAGCCTTTTTACCACACAACTGTTAAGTATTAGTTGTTCACCTGTCAATCTCCATCAGGCAGGAACAGTTCTCATTTCCTTTTGCCCACTCCCTCCCCATCACATGGATCGAGTCTGACAAATACTAACTGCTCAATATTTGGCTGCCAACGGAGACTTTCTCTCAACCTAAGGAAAACTCCACGAAACTGTTAATTCTATAAACATCTGATGAGAAAACGTTAACACAGGATTAAAAAGTAAACTAGAAAAAACTATCTAGGAGATGGCTATCGACGCATGGCTATTGACTGAATGAGTAAAGCCTGACACATTCAGAGCAATACAGAAAGGTTAAAGAATTCGTATATTCCCAAGGGAGTTAGTTCACAGAATAAACAATGGATAATACTAATACGAAAAGGAAGTTGTGCAGCCTCTGGGAAAAAGATTGCTCAAGGCTATCAATCTTCTAAGAGTGAGATTCCGGGTACCGATTGGACTGGCTTTACAACCCGGGCAAGAAAGGGAAACCGCTTGGTTGAGCTCCAAGACCGAGGTGTACGGTTCTGCCCCGGCAAGCGGGGCGGGGAAGAGAGGAAATGACGAGCCAAAAGGGGGTGGTAACGGCGCGGGGCCGGGGGCCCGAAGCGAGCGGGAGGAGGGGCGCGGCGGGGTAGTGGATGCGCTAACGAACCCCCTCCCCCGACCAAGGAAGCTGCGGGGAGAGTACTTGGGGCCCAGCAGCCAAGCCGCGCGTCTTCTCCCGACCTAGAGGGGGCTGCAGACTCAGCTCACCGAGGGCTGAGGGGGTGGGGCAAAGGCGCCACGGGAGGACAGTTCCCTTCCAAGGCCCTAAACGTGCAAGAGTGCAAAGGAGGGTTAAAGTCATGAAGCCCGAACGACCAGAGAAAACAGCCGAAGCCCGGGGCGCGTGTGTACCTGAGCGTAGGGGCAATCGTGCCAGGCAAGGTAACCCCAGGGCCTGGGACCTGAGAATTTGGCCTAAGGGTCGTGGGAAAGGGGATGCATCCCCAACTGTACTGGCACCCTGCAGGGGACAAAACCCCGCGGTGCCTGGTCCCGGGGGCGCCATCCCGCACGGGGCGGCCCCCTGCAGGCCTCAGCTGGGAATGTCCCGAGGCACCCACAGGCTCCGGGCCGGGGCCGCCAGCTGCCTGGCTCGGCTGGGCTCAGCTCGACTCCCCGGGCTCGACGGGAGCCTGGGCCTCTCCTGAGTGGTCAGCGAGACCCGCCAATCGGGGCGCTGGGGCCGGCTCTGGGCCGCTGGATATTGGCTCCTCACACTCACCGTGCCTCGCTCCCCCGGTTCGCTGCCCGCGCTGATTGGCTCCAGTACCGGACCCCGAAACCCAATCAGAGGCTCCAGCCGCCGCTGCCGCCGCCACTGCCGCTGCCTCGCAAAATGGCGAACCCGAACAAAGGGGAATCGGGCCTCCCTCCAACCGTCTCCGCGCAGGCGCCCCTTAGACCACGCCCCCTAACCTCAGTTCTGGGCTCGCCCCACCCCGTTGTAGGAGCAACGCGCAGGCGTCCCCGAAAGCCACGCCCACTTCCTTGATTTGACACCCCCCCCCCCCAGCCGAAAGAATACGCAGGCGCCTTGACAACGCGTCATACCCTTCAACTCAAACACCGCTCTGAACCCAGTACCACGCAAGCGCTAACTAACCCCTTTACCAGCTGCCCACCCCATTCTTCGCGGTCACTGGAGACACACCCCTGGTGCTAATGCGCAAGTGCAGCTCTTCCTTACTTGCCGTCTGCTTTATCGTTACGCATGCCCGGGCGGCAGCCGGAGATTCCACGGAGCTTACCGCCGGAAGTTCAGCGGCCAGCACCAAAGAGTGCGGGTTTGGCCAGCTAGCTAGAGGGGCTAGTTTCCGCCCGGCTACCGGGTGGTGGGCGGCCATCTTCGGTGCGTACAAATAGGGGTGTAGCGGGATTGGTTCCGCGTCTGGGCTCGTTCCTTGCTCCCCACCTACCACAGCCAGGTCCGGAGCCCTTCCTCGTGGGGTGGGGAGTTCCTAGCGACCAACTCTTCACGTGAAGGGGGACCCTGGTAATGTTTCTCCGCTCCCACAACGGACTTCCCCAAGACAGACCCTACGCCCTCACTGATCCTCCCTAGGGTGGTAGACAGAAGGGGAGCCTTCGTTAATCTCTCTGCCCTTCCCCCAAATAGGAGGTGAACCTTCCTTGAGTGAGACCGCCTTTCTTTTCTCCATGCCTGCAACTCAGCACGCCCTGGCCAGCATACGTCCTTGTGCCAGTGTAATGAGACTGTAGCCAGATCCCTTCTTTTTCTTCTAGGTGCAAGTCCCTGGCTACGTACTTTAGCATAGTGCAAAGAAAAGGAGACTGGCCCAATAGGCCTTGGTCCTAAGCAGATGTGGAAGGGAAGAGGCGTGTCTTAGGACTGCCTTTGCTTGCTTTCCCTGGCTTAGCGGTCCACTCCTAACCGCGCAATGAGAGTGGGTCAGGGTAGCCCCTGAGCTTAGGCATTCTTTTCTCTTTGTCCCTTATATTCAAAGCAATTACATCTTAGAGGTTGAGCGAACTCACCTTTAGTGGTAAATGTTGGAGAAAAAATTAATAACTGGGTGGTCAGGGCAGTTATGTTATTTCAGGCTGCCTAAGCATATTTATTTCCTTTTCCCCTCTCATAGCTGAAGAAACACATTCTGGAAATAGCAACTTAGTATCATGGCTGGCAGTCCTAATGAAGATCCAGAAGGAAGCAGAGTGCGTAAAAAGTATTAACTTATTGGTGAACTGGAATTCCGAATAATTGAGGTCAAAATCATAAACACTTTTTAATTAAACTAATAATTGAATTGTCTTTTCTCTCTCTCTCTCTCTCTTTAGATGATTTACTTCGAAAAGGCTAATGCAATCTTAGTCAGGGACCATCATCGTTTTCCTTTACATGTGTTTTCATTTGTTGTAGTTAATGCCTTAAATTAACTTCTGAGAATTTGGCTTTAAGTCAGATAGATTACTGGAGTGGGGGGAAGGGTACTGATGGATGTTATGTGCTGTGGAGTCAGACTTGACTCATAGCGACCTCTCCTTGGGTTTCCCAGGCAGTATCACTACAGAAGTAGATTGCCCAACCTTCCTTCCGAGGAGTGGCTGGTGGCTTTGAAACGCCAGCCTTCTGGTTAGCAGTTAAATGCCTTAGGCACTATGCTACCAGAGCTCCTGTACTAATGGATAACCTGGGGTAAATGAAAGAAGTAGTTTCTTGGTATCTAATAAAACATTTTCTTTGACATATTTCAGATCACATATATAAAAGGAGACCTTTTTGCATGCCCCAAAACAGACTCTTTAGCCCACTGCATCAGTGAGGATTGTCGCATGGGCGCTGGGATAGCCGTCCTCTTCAAGAAGAAGTTTGGAGGGGTGCAAGAACTGTTAACTCAACGTGAGTTTTGGCAACAAAGCATATATGTTCTGTTTTGGCTAGGGCATCTTTTGATCTCCTGTTACACTTTAATTATTTAACAAAATATAAATGCACAAAGGGGGATACTAACCACTGAGTGTGTTTAGTTCAGGACTTTGAATCAATCCAAATCTGTTAGGTCAGGGCTGTCCCAACGAGATCAGAACAGACTTGAATTTGTAAAATGTGGTTATATTATGATACTCGGAATGGGAAAAATGGGTCGAAGCTCTGGAATGGGAAACTCGGAAGAGCCCTTTCAGGAGCCTGATGCATGAAATTGGATTATTGCCAGGACTGTGGAGAACAACATATATTCAAAGCAATGTAGTCAGCTGCCATCTTTGAGCAGGGTACCATTGTTTCCGACTCTGTTGTTCAAGAGATTTGTTTCATCAGGGGTAGACGGAAGGGGGAAAGGAGAAGCTTTTGTTTGTGGGGCATTGAGTTTATGCTAATGGTGGTGGAATCTTTTGGAAAAAGATAGCAATAATGGTGGCACAACATGAAAAATGTCATCAATGTCCCTGAACTGTAAATATGTAATATTGGTGAATTTCTTGGTATGTATGTTTTCACTACAATAAAAGAAAAAATATTTGGTTACTGTGCGGTGCACATGCTGCCCTTATTTTCTAGGAAGGCATTAAGTTTCTAGTAGCATGTCAACCTGTAATTTTTCCTGTTCCCATTATTTGTATATACCCATGTTTTACAAATTTGGATCCATTCTGGTTTCACTTCATCAACCATGATTGAATTGGGAAGAACTTGTTTGAAGCCCTGGTTTAGCTATTCAGATTAAGCTTTTCCTCCATAAGAATGACATCTAGTTTGGGCTCTTATCGTATGTGGATCTTGTAAAAGTTCCTACTCTTCTTTCTCTATCACAAAATTTTTAATTTATCTTTGTATACGTTGATAATATTACTCCACTTCCCTGAAAACTTGTAATAACTTTTAAGTACTTGGCAGAGTCCACAGAAATTAGCTGGGCATTAAAGATCCTCTATTTATTTACTGCTACTCACTCTTCAAAGAGGAGTTCAGAAATTCCTCTTCCTTAACTCCCCCCCACACTTTTTACCATTAATTTTGAACCAGAAATGTTCATTGGAATTATATATGGAGCTTCTGAAACAATATAGACAGTTGCTCAGATCACATTCCAGGCTTACTGAATCAATCTCCACCAGTGATTCAAATCCCAGCCTTAGACAAAAGTGATTTCTTACCGATTTGGTTTGCTTTTTGTAAACATGACACTTTTTCTGTATTGGAAACTCTTTAGTAGTTAGAACCATTTTTATACATCTGTATTCCCCATAATGCTTATCACTGCTCTTTGTATGTAAAAAGTTAATTAATGAATGAAAACATATTTGGCTAGTAAAAATGCTATATAAACATAATTGTAACAACCATTAACGTTTTTTAAGTAGAAGACTATATTTGAGATTCAGGACAGGACAAAAGATGGGGTGTGAGGAAAACATGATTATAAGAAAACTGGAAGTTAAGACATCCATTATTAGAAAGGTTTGTAAGTAGCAAAATGTTCTTAGGAGACACTAGGCTTCTTCAGAACTGAAATTATTTCTAGTTCTGAGAGATCTGTAAAGATTGCGAAATCTGAGAATGGAGATCAGCGTTTTGATTTTCTTTTTCCTTTCTTCTATTAAATAACTTTTTTTCTTAGAGAAGAAATCTGGAGAAGTGGCTGTTCTGAAGAGAGATGGGCGGTATATCTATTACTTGGTAAGATGAAGCCAATTCTCAATACATTCTAAGGATTGTTGAACAGGTGGGCTGCACTGCATCTGTGTTGGACACAATGCTCCACTTTAGACAACCGAGGATGTTAAAAAGTGCCCATTGTCATGGCAGCTCAGATCCAGTGGTGGTGGTTGCCTGGAGCGCTGGGTTCAAAAAGAATGTGAGACTGCATCCTAGCTTAATGGGAAAGAGTGCTGTACCATCCACCCTTAACTCACTGCCATCAAGTCAAATCCAACTCCTAGCAACCCCTCCTTGGGTTTCCGAGGCAGTATCTCTATGGAAGTAGATTGCCCAGCCTTCCTTCCAAGGAGTGGCTGGTGGGTTTGAACCGCCAACCTTGTGGTTAGCAGTCAAATGTCTTAGGCACTACAGTGTGCAAAAGTTAGGGATGCCTCCCCAATCTCTAAACCAAACCGTATTTTAATTTTTTATTAATCATATTGAAATAGAAACAATAAAGTGTCAAGAGACAGATTGGCCAAAGGGGGTTTTCTGTCAATACTCCCTATCAAATGCAATGCCAAGTACTACATACCTCTGCTCTGGCCCTGTGCCTGAATGTGGGATTCTTCAGTTGTCCAAATGGTCTTTGGCCTGGGGAAAGCAGTTGCTTCCTTAGTAGTTGGCTTAGGTGACTTACAGCCAGACCACTACAGCCTGGTACGGACAGCAAGCTGAGTGAGGGAGATGTTCTGCCCTTTGTGTGCTATCCTCAAGGCTGATGTGGGCATGGGTGACTTCCGATCTTATTAACATGTTTGAGACACTACTAGTTTCTACCTGTTCTAAAGAGAAATGAAAAGCAACCACAGTTTCCAAGCTTCTAGAGGTTTTCATAACAGAATTTTCAAGTGCTATGGGCCCTTCCTTGTTATAAATATGCAGATTATCTTTTGGAAGTAGAACAAAGACTTTGTCTACTTTGCTTAAAAATAATAGACAGTAGGCACAGCCTATTAATCTCACGGATTTCCTAGGAGAAGGAAAGATTATTACATGGTAGCATGTGGGTTTCTCAGGCCCTAGTTAGAGGATTTTCCTGAGGGTCCCCCATAGCAGATGGATGAGGCAGTATGACATTTGCCGTCCCTATTCTAGACTATGAAAATATTTATTTTAATTATCAGGATATTGGGGGAATGTGATGGCTTTTCATTGGCTGTCATTTTGGACTAATAAAAGTTTGAATCTTTTCTTTGTTCTCAGATTACAAAGAAAAGGGCTTCACACAAACCAACTTATGAAAACTTACAGAAGAGTTTGGAAGCCATGAAATCCCACTGTCTGGAGAATGGAGTCACTGACCTCTCCATGCCCAGGTAAGGAAATCCAGGGCCCTAAGATTTAATTGGATGTGGGTTTGGGGGGCAGGGGGTACAGTTATTACTGTGTCACTCAAAGACAAATGACTTGAAGGCTTTATGGACATAAAGCTGAACAAATTTCCAAACTTTGTAAAATTACTAGCAAGCCCATCACCTTAACCAGTGGCATATCTGTCTCCTAGCTTGTGTTGAATGAGTCAAAACAATAAACTTGAAGCACACCTTCCTTAGCCTGTGCTACCTAGTGTGTGGGGGGCGATGACTGTTATTCAATAACTAGTTGGATTCTAGGCATCCTCTAGCTGAAGCTTGACATCCATTCCTGAAGTGATATAAACTAAAGAATCAAGACTAGGCAAGCATGATTTCCTTCTTGGGCCACTTCTGCATTTCCAAAGCTATTAATTCTGTGTGAAGAAGGTGATGAATTATCAGTACCTTTTAAGCTGAACACTTGGTCAGTGTGGATAATAGAGGATTCATCCCTGATGAGACTTCTTAGACCCTAGTTTTTGGGAACCTTGGGGAATGACACTGGGGATCCAGTAGGCCCTTTGCTTCCTTACCAGGAAATGGGCTTGGTGTCAGCTCTTCTCTTCCTGTCATCCCATTTGTTTTCAGTCATTGCTGACTGTATGTAGATTTATTCCAAGTCCCAAGTTACTTAGGAACATAGCTATAGTGCCCTTTATCTTGCACTAATTTTAAATGTAGTCATTTTTTGTATCACAAGCTGTTTTTTAAAAATCACAGTTCTATAGAGACTTAATCATCACATTTGAAGTTGGCAATTTTAAGTCTCTCTTTTTGTCCCCTGGAATGTTGAGGATGAGTAAAGTAAGAGCATGGAAGAAAGGTACCAGGTGGTAGAGTTTTGTGAACTGATGGAGGCTTCTTAACCAGGTTATTGCAAAGACCTGACTCCCAGATTGCAATTAGCTTGGCAGTTTCCCACATTCCATCATGACTTCCTTCTTGCAAGCTCTGTTCCTCTTCTCCTTTTATCTTCCCTTACATTTGGTTATATTTTTTTAAATCACAGCCGCCTTGCATCTCTACAACTAATTTTCATCAGTAGGCATAGAGGGATGGTGAGTATCCTGTGTCATGGCCGAGGTATACATGTGTAAATGTAGCATGAAATAATTGGGAAGTGGTACCTTATTAGGCAAAAGGGAAGCAAAGCTGTTGGACATGAGAACTGTCTAGGAACAACCTTGGGTGACTCATAAGAATTGGTTTTTAAACTCCCATCATGGCTGCTGGTAGGTGCAAACCAGAAAACTTGTCTTATACTTTGATGGACACAGCCTAAAGGAAGAGTAACAGAGCAACTTCCCTGATACCTTCATCACCACCAATGGAGATGTTTTATCTTTTTCAGGATTGGATGTGGTCTTGATCGCCTGCAGTGGGAGAATGTATCCACAATGATTGAGGAGGTGTTTGAGGGAACAGACATCAAAATTACTGTGTACACTCTCTGAACAGATGAACATTCCGGATGTGTCCATGTTCTCCTGTGTCATCCCTGCTGGGCCATAGCACTACGCAAGCCCACCTTAAAATGGGCAGAGGGAAGTTTCATGTGAAGTAGTTTTTCTCATAGCCTGATGATTGGACTGTGACTCTGGAGGAGAGATTGTTTGGGATATGTTGCTGTGTTTTTTGCAGGACAAGGAGTTGATGACCTGTTTTAAGCAGGGAAACCAAATAGTTGGGCTTATGACCTCCCCTTTTGCTCCAGTGTGCTACCTGGTTTAACCGACCACTAGGTGGCAGCATTGACTCATATTCTCTGCTTTTTAAGAGAAATTTCAGGGAGAGTGAAAACATTTCAGTTAATCTGATGTCTTTTGTCATTTGTACACTTACTTGGTATTATCCTTATGTCATCAAATTCACCCTAGGAGAGAATTATGGGTTACTTTGTATGTTTTGGTGATTTTATTTTGCTAGGTTACTTTGCTTTTAATTATAAAATTGAGTTCTACCTTGTTAACAAGGAATTTGTGGTGTCAAAAATGGAAAAATAAATCTCTTTTTCTTGAAGTCCTATGAGATTCTGTGCTCATTCATACCTTTGTTGGTCTGGACTTGGATGCACCGTTCACCTGTAACTTAATTTCAGAGACTCAAAGAACAGGACCTAGTGGAAAGAACCATGGGAGAAATAAAATTGGAGTCAACGTACTTGAAGGTTTTTAAATCTCTTGTGAACTCTTCCTCTCTTTTGTCCACTGCCTACTTTCTTTGATTGAATTTAATGATGAAACAAATGAAATAATATATGCTAATTGTCTGGCAGAATGCTTAGCACAGAGTAGTGACTTGTTAAATCAGTGGTTCTCAACAAAATTCATATGTATCATCTTTAAAAAATAAATAAATGCCCACCTTTTCCCTCCCCAAAACAATCTAATTGAATTAGTGTGGAGGGGCTGGTGTAGGTTTCTTTGTGCTTTTGAGCTCCACAAAGGCTTCTGGTCTGTAGTGAGCTGGACTCAAGAATACTGCTGGAAAGGTTAGTCCCCCTTTCTTCTATCCTAAGAGAGCAACACTGTGTCTACTCTTGGTTTCATGGTGGGAGAATAAAGCTCATGGATTTAGCATAGTAGTTCAGTGTCAGAGCTATTAGAAAAACCAGAAGTTTTCTTTTTTTCCTGTGCTGTGATGGTGAGAGTTAAAATAACCAGACCTGTCATTGATTTTCTCCCTGAGTGAATTCTGAGCCTAGCACAGGCTTGCTCTTTTCCCAAATACAAAACAACAACTGGATCTTAAAAGGGGCCTACTGAAACACCAGGAAAGTACCGAGTAAATATAATCTTTGTACTTCAGACAAGTGTTCTTATCACATTTCAGCCTGATAAGAGGCAGCAGTTTCAAAAAGTATTTCACCTCTCCTGTATCGCCATGTGGAGCAGAGGAATTGTCCATGTCGTTGGGGTTGGGGTGAGGGCAGTCCAAGCATGAGTTCATGAGGAAACTGACATTTTTCTTGAACTTTTGCTTCTGCCCACACATAAGATCAAACCCAACCCATTGCCATCAAATCAATTCCAACTCATAGCGATCCCATAGCGTTTCCAAGGCTATAAATTTTTATGGAAGTAGCTTGCGTCATTTTCCTCCCCAGGAGGGGCTGGTAGGTTTGAACCGCCAATCTTCTGGTTAGCAGCCAACTGTTTTACCTACTGTGCTACCAGTGCTGCTTTCTGCCCCCATATATACAGTAAAATTGAAGAGAATAAAAAGAGGGAGAGAATGCCCATGTCATAGACTTAAAAATGAGAGTGGGGTTGTAAGAGCAAACTTAAAAAGTAATTTACTTAACATGTACAAATCAGTTTGTGTCAAAATACTGGCTTTTTAGACTTTTTTACCTTTTTAAAGGGTTAGCATTAATTTTTTCATGGAATATGAGCCTCGATGATTTCTTTTTTAATAAAACTCATCCAGGGTTGGCGTTAAGTGGAATTCTGGGTCTCAGCAACAATGTGGAAATGTGCTTTGTCATTTGCAGATAGTCTTAGGGTCAAATTCCCATGACTTATCACACTTGAAGCCTGAGGAAAGGAGGCATGACTGATAATCAGAATGAACACATTATTCCTGGAAACCTGGTTAGAGTTTGGCAAACATCCAGAAATTCACATTTGTGTTTGCTTCTACATGGGAGTGAAACTTTTTAAGAACTGAGAATTTTGACATCACCCTAGTATTGCCACAAGTACCACATATTGAATGCTCTTTCATGATATGTACCGATTGATACCTCCCTATTTCTCACTTTCTTCTCTTTACTCAGGCAGATAATTAATAAGTTAATAAATTGGGGTGTGGATAACTTACAACACAAATTTCCCTTGTGTTTTTTCACTCTCTACCATATTCCTTGTTTTCATAAAAGGGAAAAGACCGTCATTTACGAGTAATCTCAACAAAGTATTTTATGAAGGTCAAGAGCACAGTGGGAAGTCTGCCTGGGAAGGTTGGTATCTTGGGTTGCTGAGGGCAAGTCCTGATTTCTTTAGTCATAACCGAACCACTTTTTATGGCTTGTGTTCTGGATTCATTCACCATCCATGGTAACTCCAAATTCCAAGTTCCTTAAAAAATCTGGCCACAGAAAAGCATACCACTTCAGTTCTTTTATTGATCCTGCTGTTTTTCTTACTTAAAAAAAAAAATCCATCTTTTGACATATTTCAAAGATCTGCACCTTGGGTCTGAGGCTCTTTGCATTAAGCAGCCCTTTCTAAGGAGTGATTAGGACCGTCAGCCCCGTGATGCCTGCTGCCCACATTTGCAGGAATTTCTCTCCTTGCAGCTCACTTTCTCTATCCCAAGAGCAGCGTTATAGAAAAAGCACAGCCTAAGAGAATTACAGCATGAGAAGTGTATTCTGAGTCTTATCCAGTCGGATTGGTGGATGTTGAATGTAGTCTGGCTCCAAGTGGTATTAGGAAGACAAGTATGTCCCAGATGGCCATGCATGTCATTGCTGTCTCTTGGTGGCAGCAGGCAGACCTTAGTGAGAAAACAGAAAGCATGTTACCCAGAACCCTTCTGGCCCCAAACAATTAAGTTTCTTTTTAAGTCTCTGTGTTTTTCCCAACAAGTCCTTGAATTTTAACTCTGTAGTCTCCTGTGATTCTAGTTTATCCAGAATTGGATCTGTTTCTTTCTTTCATGTTATAGTGTAGGCGACAGAGAAAGCCATGCAAGAGATCTGCTTGAACTGCTTTCTTAAGATTATGGTTAAATCCTATTCTATTATTTTCTAAAAATGATAGAAGAAGAATGAGGCAGATTTTATTTAACAAATAACTCATTTTTTGGGAGTATTTTAATTGAGCAGAGTTGTTCTTTGGGGCTTTTAGGTTACAACTTTATTTCATGTCTTTTTTTTTTTAAAAACTTGGTACATTTTAACCTATTCCTTTGGGAACATGACCAAGTCAAATAGAGGACAGGGAAGCATGTTATTGGTTACATACACTAGTGCAAGGAAGCTTGTAATGTGGAAAACATCCAATAATATTTAATTTAAAAATAATTTGATTTAGAAATGAAATTTCCCCTCAAGGTGAGTTGTCTTTTTTACTTCTATTCAGATTAGTATAACAAAAAAATGCAACGTAGCACACTGCCGTCATGTCAGATCCAACTCATAGCAACCCCTCCTTTGGTTTCCGAGGCAGTATCACTACGGAAGTAGATTGCCCAACCTTCATTCCAAGGAGTGGCTGGTGGGTTTGAGCCGCCAGCCTTCTGGTTAGCAGTCAAATGTCTATAAGACTCTCTCTCAATTATTCAAAATTAAAAGATATTTTTAATCTGTTTGTTCAAATGCTTAATTTTTTTTTTTTTTTTGGAGCAGTTTCAGTTGCCTAATTATTTGGCTTAATGGGGAAAACAAAAACAAAAAAACACCGAAGACTTGCTAGTAAGGCAGCTGGAAGAAGTGGCTCATGACTCTGGAAGATGATCAAGAAGAAAGTATCCTGTTACCTACCCATTGGCTTCAATTCAATTCCAACTCATAGTGACCCTATATGACAAAGGAGAACTGCTCAGAGGGTTTCTAAGGCTGTAATCTTTACAGGAGCAGTCTGCTTTCTTCCATGGACTGGTCAGTGGGTTCTAACTGCTGTGTTGGTTGGCAGCTGAAGGCTTACCCACTGTACCTCCAGGGCTCTTCATAGCATCTATGTAGGGTTTGTAATTATAGTGATGGTATCTACACTAACAGAATCGGCGGGGGATTTATAAAGTTTCCTATTTTCAGAGGTCACTCTCAGAAATCTGATCTTAGTGCTACTCACACCACTCAGAGGTGTCTTATTTTATACATACACACATGTGTGCATCTCTAATAGTGAACACCTGCCAACACCAAGCTCCAGAACAGCAATGTTTTCAAAACATGTCTATGAAGCAGCATCCTCTCTTAAGGATATTAAGAGTAAGAGACACCAAGAGTAATTGAGTATCTTCATGAAAGCATGTTGGTTTCATGCTTTATTAGCATGTGAGTTGTTAGAGAATTACAGTTGAATTCTAAGAGGGTGTTGTTATTGGAGGATTTTGATCAGTAACTTGGGCATTGCAAAGGGGCTTAGTCTTAACCTTTCCGGAGAAGCAAACTAGAACAGACAGAAAAAAAAAAACAAAAAAAAAAAAAACCAGTAGAGGATCCTTTACCCTGTTTCCTGAGGGTAATCGGCCTGTTTGTGTAAGAGTCTCATTTACCCTCAGCAAGAGGCCAAATTGGCCTTAATTGTGTCCTAATTATTTGCTTAAATAGCTAATCTTTACTTCCAGTTCTCCTATCACCTCTTGATATCTGTAGAAGGCTACTTCTGAGCTGCTGCCTAATTTACAAACATCTTTTTAACCCTTTAAATATTCCTGCTTAGAATAGCATATTGCTGTTTTAGTCCCATTCCTTCATTCAGCATTTTCCTTCTGAGTTCTGCTGAGATCTCAACATGAGGAAAATGTTCTTGGTATGTTCATACAGCAATAATTGCTCTCCCTTAATGTATAATTTTTTCTCTGGACAAATAATAATAATAATAATGTTGAATACAAATCCATTTGGGGAACTGCAAAATTACTGAAAATGAAAAAAAAAATTGGTTCTGAAGGAATGAAAAATCTGCATTAGACAAAAGTAGAATGGTAAGATTGTACATAGGGGTGGAAGTAAGGCATCTAGTAGGTGTGCACAGTAAGTCTGGACACATACATGGCATGCATAAAAAGCTCACTGCCATTGAGTCAATACTGACGACTCCTAGTGACCTCCATTGGGTTCATTATGGAAGAAGACTGTTCCATTTTCCTTCTGTGGAACAGCTGGTGGGTTTGAACCACTGATGACTGGTTAGCAGCCAAACGCCTTATCTACTATGCCACCCAGAGCTCCTTATGGCATGCATGGGGGATATAAATATTTTCTCTGCTGTTCAGTAGCAGGTCTTTGCACTATCTACTCTTAATACAAGGAGCCCTGGTGGCAGTGGTTAAGTGCTCAGCTGCTAACTAAAATGTCGATGGTTCAAGTCTACCAGCTACTTCATGGGAGGAAGATGTAGCAGTCTGCTTCCATGAAGATGACAGCCTTGGAAACCCTATGCGGCAGTCCTACTGTCCTGGAGGGTTGCCAGAAGTTGGAATTGACTGTTGAGTATTCCAAGTTATGGGGAGAGTTAGTTTGACATAAAAACATAAAGAGGGAAAAAGGTTTAGGGAGAGAGATTCAGAGGAAAGAAAAATGAGACAGCGTGTTCTAAAATGTTTTTACAGCTAACAAAAGCAGAGGACTTAAATCCTTCCAAAGAAGAATGAAAACATGTTACACCATTTGTGCCCTCTGACCTCAAGCCTTCTACCCAAGTCACCAGTTAATAAAGTGACCATGCCACGGTGCCAGGAAAACTCACGTGAGGCCGAACCAGTGGCCTACTTCAGGATGTCCGCCAGCTTCTCCTCGTAGTATTGGAAGTTCTCCTGAATGTCCTCCCAGGGCTGAAAGGCCTTGGATTCACCTTCTTCTTGCTCCACAAAATTCTGCCAGACATACTCGAAGTCCTGGGGCTTCATGATACGCAGTTTGCAGCCAGCCTCCTTCAGCTTCTTCAGGGCGGCCTGGATCTCGGGCTCCTCCCACATGAAGAGCCGCCCCACCAGAATGAGCAGCCGCAGGTTCTTGGTCTTGCTAAGGGTTTTGATAATGCGATCAGCGCAAGCTGCACAGGGGCTGGAGGACACGTACCAGGTGACGTTGTACCGCAGGGCTGGGTCGCAGGCTGGCAGGATGGTATTGAAGAAGGCTTCCTCGGCATGGGCAGTTGCATGCTCATCCTCTAAGTAACCCCGTGATGCCTGCACTTGGCCTCCCTTGCTTTGTGCTTCAACCACGTAGCAGAGGAAGGTCTTGTTTCGCCCAGAACTGTACTCCACATTACGGAACTGGAACTTAAAATAGTTGACAGGCAGCCGTTCTCTGTAGGCCAAAGGAAGAAAGGGACAGGGAACAAGGGGGAATGGTGAGCGCTTGCCTCTAGGACCAGTCTGGAGTGGATGGTTCTAAGATCAGTACCTTAGAGACACATTCACTTATTACACAAACAGGCCTTGCTGACACTGACATATCAGTGGCAAAAAGGCATGAAAGAATCCAAAAGGGTCGGTTTGGAGGAGAGGAAGGAATTTGTATTGGGGGGGGGGTGCATTCTGGTAACCAACCAGGAAGGGTGTCTAAACACTGCCTCCACCATCACTCCCAAAACACAACACGCTCCTTTAAGCCAGTGAATCTTTAACCTGGATATTCATTAAAAATCATCTAAAGAACTCTGAAAATGTCAATTCCTAGGCTATTTACCAAACCAATTAAATCAAAGCATCTGGAAAAGGGGGCCCAGGCATCAGTATTTTTTAAAAGCTCTTCCAAAAACCAAACTCACTGCCAGTGAGTTGATTGTGACTCATAGTGACCTCCATTGGATTTCCAAGGTTGTAAATCTTTACAGAAGCAGACTGCCTCATCTTGCTTCCATGGAGTGCCTGGTGAGTTCAAACCACCAACCTTTTGGTTAGCAACCAAATGCTTTAACCACTATACCACCTGGGCTCTTTAAAAGCTCCCCAGATAATTCTAATATGCAGCCAAGTTTGAAAAGCAGTGTTCTCATTTCAATTTTACAAAGTTGCAAGCATGTAAAATTCTCATGACAGAGCAAGACAAGATTTTGCAGAATATTTCATGCTTTCATTTCTCCCCTGTAACCCATATAAAGTGCTTCTTGGGTAAGGAATAGCCTAAGACTTGCAATACCATGCTCTCCTAAAAAAACACAAAAAACTACCAAACTCATTGCCATTGAGGTGATGCAACTCATAGTGACCTCTCCTTGGGTTTCGAAGATGGTATCTCTATGGAAGTAGATTGCCCAATCTTCCTTCGGAGGAGTTGTTGGTGGGTTTGAACCACCAGCCTTCTGGTTAGTCAGAATGCTCTCCTAGTGATCACGTATCTCGTCTATCTTTTCCCACAGATGAAGGAAGGATTGTCACATGCTAACTATCCCAGAATTTTTGTGAGGCCAGATAAAAAGGTGTTTCGATCTAACTTAGTTTGTGTATAGTATTAAGTCACTTCAAAATTTTAAAAGACTTGGTCTCTGCCCTCCAAGATACTTATAATCTAGTAGCTAGGTCCTAGCAGGACAGAGAAATTGTTAATAAAACATTTAAGAACACTAGAAAGATTGCTAAAAATCAGTAGAGTGGAGAATATATTATGAAGGTTCTTGAAATTTTAGCCTTGATTTAGGAGGCAAAAGATAATCATTGCAGGTTATTGAATAGAAGAAAGACATGAGAGCAATAGCCCAGAATGATTAGTGTGACAGCAAGAGGAAGATGGAACGGAGCTAGGGAAAAACCTACAATGAAAGCCAGCTAGGTATCTTTAGAAACCCAGGCTTGGTGATGAATAGTATAGCTGTCCAGTGACTTGAAAGGGGAGGTGGATGATTAGGAAATGAAAGCAGCAGGAAAAAGCCATATTTTTTTGAAAAGTTTGGTAGTAATAGTTGTTAGCTGTCTTTGAGTCTGTTGCTGTGCAACTGAACAAAACGCTGCCCATTTTCGTACCATCCCTACAATCAGTCGTGGGATGAAGAGTTGTGATCCACAGGGTTTTCATTGGCATTTGCAGAAGTAGATCACCAGGCTGTTCTTCCTTTCTTTCTCATCTGTCTTAATCTGGAAGCTCTGCCGAAACCTGTTCAGCAGCCTAGCAACGCACAAGCCTCCGCTGCAGATGGGGGGGGTGGCTGCGTGTGACGTGCGTTGGCCGAGAGTTAAACCTGGATCTTCTCCGTGGAAGGCAAGAATTTTACTACTAAGCCACCGATGCCCAATTGGTTGTAATAAGAGATACTAGAGAGGCATCAGAGTTGGGAGTTATTTTTATTTTTACATGTATTGTGTGTTTTTCTAAAATAGGGAAGCTTTGTGCTGGTTTTGAAGGCCGAGGAGGGTGAAGAGGTCTTACCATGAGAGATGGAAAATATCAGGAAAGCAGAGGATGATTATGAGATGGAGAGCCTGAATGTTTTCCTTTTAAAAATCTAATCTCTGTGGCTTCCCAAGAAGATCCACTATAGCACCATTATCTGCTGTTACCTCTCTCCCTTCACCTCTGCTCAGTCTCCAGGGAGGTCACCCAACTCCTTGACCTGTAGGGGAATCCCTGGTGTCCCAGGACCTTGGGTCCTTAGGGACAGACAGTAAATGCCAAAGAACTGACTAAACTTGAGAGTTATTTGCCTGCAGGGCACCCCCTCAACCCCCACCATCACCAAATTTCATCCACCCACGTTTCCATGGACCTTGCTGTCAAGTTTCCACTGTGAAGATGAATGCGTTTGAGGACCCAGCCCTAGGATTCGTTTGGATACTATTCTTAGTGCTCTAAGCTTCTCTGTCCTAGATCTGGAGGTGTTTATTATTTACTTAACATTGTAGGAGAATGCAGAGTTGATGATTACCCTCTCCTCTTTCAAACTTTGCGGGGAATTCACTTTCACTGAGGGCTCCCTGACTAAACTCACCTCACCAGACCACTCCTGAACCCTGTGGGTTGCTGACAGGTCCCTTCCCTTCTTGCAGTGGAAACAATGCTCCTGGGAAGCACAGGGCTTAGCTTTCAAGCCTAAACCTTTCTTTGCGCTTCATATCCTGCCAGACCACCCGCAACTCCAAGTCCAGTCCAGAGCCATCTGTATGGTAGATTCTCAGGTGGAATCGTTGAAAATATTCATGGCTACTTGGTTGGCTTGCAAACTTCAATAGTAGCTGCCTATGTGGTCCCTCGGGAGCTCTGGTAGCATAGTGTCTAAGACACTTGCCTGCTAACCAGACGACTGGCGGTTCAAACCCACCAGCCACTCCTCGGAAGGAAGGTTGGGCAATCCTACTTCCGTAGTGATACTGCCTTGGAAACCCAAGGAGGGGTCGCTATGAGTCGGGGCCGACTCGACGGCACATACAACAACAACAACAACAAATGTGGTCCCTCAGGAGCTCTGGTGGCAACAGTGTCTAAGGCATTTGACTGCTAACCAGAAGGCTGGCGGTTCAAACCCACCAGCCACTCCACAGAAGGAAGATTGGGCCATCTACTTCCGTAGAGATAATGCCTCAGAAACCCAAGGAGGGGTTGCTATGAGTCAGAATTGAGTTGAAGGCAGTGAGTTTGGTTTCTTTTCATTATGTAGTAGTCCCTTGGGTTTTCTTCTGAAACCCCCACCCCTGCCTCCTCAAAGCATTGCTCCAATTTTGGCAAATATAGACCAACAAAAAGTATAGATTTGGCCCAGTATGTAATCCCAAGTTGGTGGTTGGTATGAGGCTGCTGCTTCTCTTAGCCCCTCCTAAACTCCCTCTTCCCTAGACAAGAGGCGAGGACCCAGAGAAACCTGAAACCCAAGAGAGAGGAAGAAAGGTCACCTCTCTATAAATAGTCCATTCCCTACCCCTCTGGCCAGCAGCCCTATAGTCTACTCTGTCACTCAGCACTAGATTAGGTGCTTCAGGAAGAGAAATGCTTTCAAGGGGCACAGGAATGGCAGGGAAGGTTTTGGTTCCTGGTCCTTCTTTTGGGCTTGCTCAGAGACTGGACATACTTGGCTTCTCAGTGAGCTTCTTGGTCAGAAGGAATATAAAGGTTGAATGAGGTTCTTTGGACCTCCCACAGACTGAAGCAACCAGGTCCAGAAGGGGAAGCCAGGGGAACAGAGGTAGCAGAGGACCCAGGATGTCTGAAATTTCTCCAGGGAACTAGATAATGTGGTCATCTCAGGTTATTTTATAGAAGGACAAAATAAGTTGACACTCTTATGCCCACTAACAGAAGGAAGGAAATAGTGACACCTGTGTATTGCTTAAGGCATGTGACTGCTAACCAGAAGGCTGGCGGTTCAAACCCACCAGCCACTCCTCAGAAGGAAGATTGGGCTATCTATTTCCATAGTAATACCACTTCAGAAACCCAAGGAGGGGTTTCTATGAGTCGGATCCAACTCGACAGCAGTGAGTTTGTTTTTTTTTGGTTAATTTCTTTGATAGGAGCTCTGGTAGCATAGTGCCTAAGGCACTTGACTGCTAACCAGAAGGCTGGCAGTTCAAACCCACCAGCCACTCCTC